TTGATTTTTACGTGTGTGTGTGTGATTCAAATATCAAATTAACCATGCAGTAGATTCGCAGAAAAGTGAGGTAAAACCAGCACATGATTTGAGGTGTCAGAATGATTGTGGATAGGACATGGCCGGGAAACGATAAACTTATTGGTGGTTGAACCGGCCACAAAATATGAAAGTTCGAAGCAATCATCCAAAATAGTTCTATATATTCTGCATGATTTGGTGGTCAAGCATTTTTTTGTGATGTATAGCAGCTTGACCATGCTGGAAGATGTTCGGGGATAGGACCAATGATCAGGTCCGTTTGGAGTTTGGGATACTGGTAAATCATATCAATATAAATACATATTTATAATATAGTTGTCTTGAATAAAATGACTTGCGCACATAAAATGACTTCTTCGTGCCAGTAGGAAAAGGACGTCTATGGTGGGCCATAGGACTATGGAACAAGTCAGTTGGGATGTTCGTCCCTATTGCAGTGGAAATGCCAAGACTACCTACCGAACAGAATATGTGTCTAGGTCAGATTTCAAAGACCTTATGATCATGTTTTCATTGTGGGGTACCCTCTGGTAAACTAACATAACTATGGAAAATCACCATTTTTAGTGGGTAAATCCACTATAAATGGTCATGTTCTATAGCTATGTTAGTTTACCACAGGGTACCCAGCTTTATCGATTCCCATACCTTAATACTCATGAAAAACACAAGACTTCCATCCAGCAGAGACTGTGTTGCTTCACCCGATCCATCTGCTGAAAAACTTATGTTTTCTGAGGGTTGACCGATTCATTCCATGCAACTTACCTGTCACAATACATACAGTCCCTATCCAATTTCAAGATATTTGCAGCCACAAAATGAAATATTGTCTCAACATTTGATTGATTTGATAAGCATACCATAATCATATGATATATATACATATTACTATATATATACTACCATATATATATATTATTATTATATATATATATTATCACGCATATTATTATATCCCTCTTTATATATTCTTCTCTTCTACTTATTCTATATATCTTATCTCTCCTTACTTCTCTCTCTTATTATATATATAATATTATATATAATAGTAATCACTCACGCATATTATTATATATTATTATATATATATATATTATTATATATATAATATTATATATATTATTATTATTATTAATTACTATTATTATTAATATATATATATTATTATATATATTATTATATATATATATATATTATTATTAGTATTATTATTATTATATATAGTATGCAAATAATTGTCAATATATATAATACATTTACATAAATGAGGATGTGTCAAAGCCTATTACCATCTTTGGCAAAAGAACCATCCACCCGACAGGCCTGGAGCTTATGGGCTGTCGCCTGGTGCATGGACAATTCGCTGACGGTGGCCTTGGGCGCACGACAAACTCGCCGTCGTTGGAGGGATTACTTGGTGGCTCATCCCACTTAGGAAGACTAGAAGATGGCAAAAGTTCAGACACTTTCAATTTTCAGAAAATATCGGAAAATTCTACTTGGTGGCGAACTACCCACGGCTCGTAAGTGGGTTAGTTCACCCCAGTGATTGATGTGGATTAACCCTACTTATCCCATTTATAATTGGGGTTATAACATGTTATAACCCACTTACGAGCCGTGGGATGAGCCATCAAGTAGCCTTTGGTTCTTTAACGTAGCTATGGTATAGATGGCCCATAGAAATAGATGATAAAAATGATGATTTACCGTTACCTATTAAAAATGGTGATTTTCCATGCCTACGTTAAATAACCAGAGGGTAAATTGAAATGATCTTCAACGACGCGGATGTAGTAAGCATTATCTTCTATATATGTCAGAAAGTGCTTCAACGACTTTTTGTTGAGGTTTAAAGAATGATGTATGGTTGATCAACTAATATAGTCGTAGTTGAAAATGTTTTTTCGTGGCTTTTGTTTAAACATATGGTATGATTCATATATATATATTATATATAGTTGAAAGAATCAACTAGTAAGATACATTTCTACAAAAGCATCATGCCTGATGAATGATTAAGATCACCAAATAATAATATGATTCTCCAGAAAATACGGAAACTGTGGAGGTTGAGCACAAAGAAATCTGGGAAATGCACCATGTAGGGCCGCATCTTTGTGTTCCTGCCTTTCACAAGGGGGAATTCCATGGAATTCCCCCTCCCACGGATCCCTCCGTGGAACATCACCAGGCAGCCCAACCATCATCTTTCGCGTCACATCTTTGATCCGCGACTGGAATGTGTTCACCTGGCTATCCAATCCTAGGGATGTTCACCAACCCATGGCTTAGTGGAATGGTTGCCTCCAATTTGCAGATGTCTTGTCGGATTGCACATGGGGAAAGAAACTACACTGTACAATGCTACAATATGCTACAATACTGGCTCTGACTTAGTGATACTTAGTGTATGAAAAAGTTGAGACCAGCAGTATGATGAAGCACGTTTCGCAGTGAACCGACTGCCATATGAACTCTTTCGCATTGGCAGTCCGGGACTTTGGGGATCAACAACACAAATTCTTCCAGGCGCCACATGTTTTGCCCCAAAGAAAGGCCAAGATGCAGGCTCTTCAGAGAATCCACAATCATATCCCATATAATCCCATTAAATGATTTAAATGTCCATTGAATTCCCCTGGTTGGTGGTTTTAACCATCTTGAAAAATATGAAAAAATATGAAAGTCAATGGGAAGGATGACATCCCATACATTATGGAAAATAAAAATGTTCCAAGCCAGCAACCAGTCTTCTATATATGAGAATCCACAATCTGGCAAGTGATTCTTCGCATCACACGGATCGACAAGAGCACGAGTAGCACCATCAGCAGTCCTTTTCCATGCATCGGGTGAGATGTCCAAAACCCCCATCAGCCAGCAGTTCTGCCAGTGTGGCGGGAGTCGTGCGACCCTAACCAAGTGAAAATAAGTGAAACAAGACAATCGGTTGACATTGGATTACGGCAGCTTGGGATATCGGGTGACATCCGGTGCTGGTTATACTTGCCCATCACCATCTCCTTCCAGAATCTTGAAATACGTAGTCCATGGGGACCATCGTCTCACGATGTTTGTCGCACCAACATGATGATCAGATCATGTTGTAAACAGAACTAAACCATCCCAGCAACCCGAAAAGGGAGGCACAAATCATCCCAGTTTAAGGGACTTCAACCCCACTTGGGGATGGTCTCTCATAGAACTTTTCCGTTCAACCTTCCTATAACTCGAAGGTCTGCGCCAAGGTACTTTCTCGTTTGTGGTCTTGCTCAGGTCAAGTGTCTGTCTCAAGGATCCCCATTGAAACACGACGGACGACGAAAGACGACAAAGAGAAAAAAACGAGCAAAAGGGTTTCAAGGGTTCCTCTACGGGACCTCCGGGGGAAGAAATTCCAAGGGTTCCTCTCCGGGACCTCCGGGGAGAAAAAATAAAAATAAAAATGTTAAAAAAATTAAGACGGGCACATACCATTGAGAAAAACACATAGCATGTTTTATGCATATTTGCAATGTTCGGTCGCAAGTGTTCTTCCCCGGGGTATGGGTTTGTCTCCGGGATTTCATTTTATTTTTTATTTTTTTGGCAGCCTTGAGCGCGAACCTTCACTGTGGGAAAACACTTGGCCTTGAGAAATCCTTCGAACATGGGAAAATTTTCCGGGAATACGGTTGGGAAACCAGGACCTTTGAGGAGGGGAAAAAGAAAGCACTTTTGATACAGGGAGGAGGGTTGAGACAGGCACATACCATTGAGAAGGTAGAAAACCCTTCGTCCAGACTTTTGAATAACATCCTATAACCCATGACGGATCCATGGTGCTGGTATATATGCGAACATTGATTGGGGATATATTGATGGGATCCATGCTACCATATATAGCAGCACCATGGATCCGTCATGGCTAAGAATCTCTGTCATCCTGTGATTCTGCCAGGACAGGCTTTTCGGATGCTGCAGATACGAAAAAAGCCCCGCTGACGTAGCCCAAAAGCGATCTCCAAGCCCGTGCTTCACCGCTGCTGTGAACTCGGCAAACATTCCCCAGCTTTTGCCAACATGAAGCAAAGTAATGATCTTTCGAAATGCCAGTGATACGCATGGTTTTTTAGTGGAGGAAATCATCCGTTTTAGGATTTTCCAGCAAATAAACCATCCAGGTTTACCTCCCATGCCAGTGATTCTCATTAAAGTCTTGGTGTGAAATGCAATGCCATTTAAGAAATGCTTGGCCCATCATGTCCTTGCCTTAAGTCATAGAAGTTCTGACGACATCCTTACAGTTCCTAGGGGCACCGATGCAATCTGTACATACCGCTGAGACAACACCAAGGCTACCTGGTCGTCATTTTCCCTTGGGGAACTGACAGCAGGGGAGCCCCACGGCAGTTTTTCAGTAGCTGGCAGTTGGTTCTGCAAAAAGGAACCCCGAGTCATACAGCCAAAAGTTGGAACCCTGGAATTTATGGGGAAAATATCATCCTATACCATCCTGGAAACACTTATCTATCTTTTTGGGCACTTTTATAAGTTGAATTAATCAATTACTTTACTAATCGTTCAAAGTAAGAGCTTGGAGGGAAAACAAATAAGTAACAGTTCTGTGCACCTGCACTGATGAATAATGAGTTTGCTTCCCGACACCGTACAACCGTACTACAGCTTAGTCTTTTTGATGAAGTCACTGAAACAAAGAACCCAAGTCCGCTTGGCTGAAGTACCTCTCATCTCATTTTTCCTATTTGTTAAGCCAAGTGTCAAGCTTCAGGTAGCTCTCATTCTTCCTTCAAACAAAAAATGAATCTCAATTGATCAATGTTTGAACAAATGTGACAAGAGAGTTCTAGAGTTTTCTATTTGTGGAGGCTCCCAAGTCATTGCAGACATCGCGAAAATTCTTCGCCGCAGCGCGCGCAGCGCCGCACACGGTGCGACGGGTCAGCGACGGATCACAAGGGGCGTTGCAAAGGCGGTAGGAAGCGGCCCGACTGGGACGACCTGATTGGGATGGACATCAGATCACATCAGATGAATCTGAATATGAAAATATATGAAAAATATATGAAAACATGGAAGTTTCCTGAAATTGGGGGTATCTCCAAATCATCCATGTATCTGGATTTTCCACTATAAACATCTATAAACCATCCAGCTATAGTGGGGATTCGCCATTTATGAAACCCCCAATAAAAATATTTGTCCCATTCAACCCTTCGAAGATCTGAAAAAAATTATGATAATTATGGCTCCGATGCGACCAGCGGGGGCTGTATGACCTTGGGGCCCCCCACTTCAGTGGCACGTATTGACCATCCACCACCTTCCATCTAGGCAAGTTTGCGGCCTCCGCCGACAACGGATCTGGGTGACATCCATCCGGTGAATTTTTTCCAGCAGCTGATTGGAAGGGGCTACGAATGGAATGGTTCGAAAGGGAAAATTCACAGGACCCCCCCATATTTGGATGGTAACAAAATGTTTAAAAAACAGCAAAAAAAACATATATATATATATACAATATATATATATTTGTATATAGTCCGATGTTCCATCCAATGAGTTCAATCACCATTGGATTTGTTGCTTCCACATTTCTCACTTGGATTGGATCATATGGACATAGAAAGACATGGATGTCCATTGGAATTTCCGGTAGATTGTCCATTCAACCACTCCTTTTTCACCGAATCTGGCCTCTGCATCATCGCATACTGTGGACGGGGTGTCGGGCCGAGTCCATGAGGCCTGCGGAGAATGGACATGTTTTTTGGATAGATATGGAGGTTTCCGAAAATATGGGTCCCCCAGTTCTCATCCATTTTTGATTGGGATTTTCCATTATAATCATTATAGAACCATCTATCTGGGAAATTTGTTTGGGGGGTTCCATCAATGGGGATTTTTAATAGCTGGATGGTTTATAATTGAAAATCCTACATATTAAAAATGGAGAACTGGGGGGTACCCCCATATTGATAGATCGAGTTCCATTGTTCTGCCATGAATATCTTGGAGCACGTCCTATGGCCACTGGAACTGGGGAAAACTGATCCTACGCGTAACGGCGTAGCGGGTGGGTGAACATTTTTCAACTTGGAAACTACTGGAACGGACTGACTATCCAACCAACTTGGATAAAATTGGAAAGATTGGTTTGCCTTTTAACTTTTGGGGTTAATCCTGATTCTCTTGATTTCAATGGCCACATATCGGGGTCGAATCCCCCCATTTTCAGCCCCACAAAATGTGGTGGGATGTAGTGGGCATCGTCGCATCGTTTTAGAGTCTTGATCACCTCCGCTGTAAAAATTTGTCAATTTGATGTAAATCGGCTTTGATTTAGCCTCCAATAAACTACCCTCTGGTAAACTAACATAACTATGGAAAATCACCATTTTTAATGGGAAAACTCACTATAAATGGCCATATTCAATAGCTATGTTAAATTACCAGAGGGTAACAGATGTGGAACCCCCACCATTGAATGCCCTGGGATGCCATGGGGTTTTCCCACATCCATGTCCCGAAGCGCGCCAAAGGCGTGTCGCTGCGTTGCCAGGGTGGTCGTAACCAGGAAGGAGTACTGGGCCGCCTGCAAGGACTCCATGCCATGGATGTGCTGCTGTCTCCATCCCCTTTTTTTGTGGTCAATTTTAGGGAGAAACATGGAGAAAACATGGAGAAAGTGATCATGATGGAACATTTACCAGAATTTGGATGCTCCAATCTGAGAAAAATCTTATTCATCCCCAATTGTAAAGCAAGGGACACTTTATGATAAAAAAATGGGGAACATGATTATTTCTTGTGTTACCTTTTCAAACCATAGGGTGGAAATGACGATAAGTTAAATAAGCAAGGTTCCTTGTGGGGGGCGGAGTCAGACTCTTCCTTGTGGCATCTCTTCTGGGGGGTATTTGACATGAGGGAGAAATAGGTGGATGTAGCGATAATGGCTATTGCTGAGTGGAACATACCCTCTGGATCCCTCTGGTAATTTAACGTAGCTATTGAAAATGACCATTAATAGTGGATTTTCCCATTAAAAATGGTGATTTTCCATAGTTACGTTAAATTACCAGAGGGTACAAGAAACCATGGCTTTTGCCATCAAATGTTCAGGTGTCCTGTCAATTTTGCTGCCATTCGCCAATTCCGGAAAGAATCCCGGTGAACTGGAACTGGATATCCCCCAAGTTGTCCAGTGTAGTGGTTGGTCACATCCCCACGCTCTTGTTGCTTCCCTAAATATTCATAGATATCCTGGTACCATCCCCACTTTAGATCACTGTAGATGATGCCACAGATATCCGAATCACCAAACAAATTGGCCAAAAATTCCCCCAAAATCTTCACAAGTACACTGGGTTACCAACAATTTCCATCAATTTCCCCCCAAACAAATCACCAGAATTTTTCACTGCCAGCACACCCTGCAGTGCTGGGTCGCGATCTCCTTGAGCGACCCTCCACACCCTGCGCCATCTGATGATCGATGAGCACATATTGAACTGATGTGAAGAGGTCTGAATGTGTTTTTTGTCTTGAACATAATATGTCTGAAGAAATATCTGCACACATTAATAATCACTTATATATATATAATCATCACATATGAAACATGATAACATTGCATTGAAGAATTCGTATCATCAGAACAAAATTGAAACCATGAAGGGGAATGGCTCCGAATTCAAGTCCATAAAGGCTGTCTGCATGGACCATAAAGGGACTCAGCAGGTCCACTGAACATGTAACATCACTGGATTCCGGTCGGCCAGGGAAAGAGAGAGGGTTTCCCATCATTCCAGTGACGTCACAGTGAAGTCACAACATAATTCATCCAGATATTTAAGGTATGCATATGGATCAACATGGGATTTATATGATTTATATATATATATGATATCATATGATACCTATCCCCCACATATTTATCTATATGATACAATTATTATTACTATCTTATTATCACTATTAGCAATACGATGTTATTTCTATTATTGCTACTATTGTTATTACTACTAAATTATCATTATTACTCTTTACATTATTTCAGCAAGACTACTATTATCATCTATAATAATATATGATACTACTATTATTATTATTGTATTGCATCATTATATATAGTATATCTATTACTATATTGGTATAGTATATATTATATATTATATTAATTATAATACTACTATTACTATTATCACCATTACTATTGTTACTATTATAGTCTGGCTGAATTGCAATAATTCACCAAACTGAAAATCATATGGATCAACTCCCTCAACTGCACCATACTGCACCACACCGCACCTGCGGGAGGGGCACCATAGGTTCTGGCACCTGTCCAGGAACCTGACAAGGTTCGGATGTTTACTAAAGGGGCATTAAAGAACTTGGGAATCCTTGGGCATAATTCTTGTGAATTCTTCATTGTGTCATCATTACAACCCCATTACAACCGCATTATTGATAGAATATCACTCACCAATAATGGGGTTGTAATGATTATAATGATGCAGCCCGAAAATGGGGGGTACCCCAGTTCTTATCCATTTTAATAGGGTGTTCCATTGTGAACCATCCATTTTGGGTATCCCCATTATGGAACCCCTCCAAATTCTTGGGTGATATAAGATATTTCGTTGGATATTTTCATCATGGGATTTCATGATGGCTATGGATCTTACGTGCAGGTAATTTCACCATATTTCACCATATTTCACAGATTAACACGGGAAAAAAAATTCACCATATATGTATACACCATATTTTCAGATGGTATTTCGCAATATTTCACAGATTACTAGAAAAGTACATCCTAGTGAAAATTACATTTCACCATATTTCACCATACTTTCATCATATTTCACATGGGAAAGCACATCCTAGTGAAAGTATGAAAAAAGTACCAAAAAACTCACGGTAGCACCATAGTGATTCTCCTACTCTCATGAAGCGAAAAACAGAATTGATTCCATTCCGATAGCCTCTGGTAAACAAACAGCAAACGCTATAAACAAAAATGGCGATAGATAAATTGTCTATAGTTTTTAGATTCACCCAGTTACGAAATGCTGATTTTCCATCAAACAATGGTGATTTTCCGCAGCGATTTCCAGCAGGCTAAACCTCGAAGGACTCGAACGTTGGAGCCACCGGGGCCGGGCTTGAAGCCACCGAATATCCCGCCTTTGCGAAGGATGGTAACATGGATCATTGAAGCGTTGGTATGTAATAGTAATATTGGTATAGTAATGCTTCATATTAGGCATCTATGTATAGTCAATAGTATCTACCTATTCTATATATATACGTATATAAATATACATTGATACATGTATATGGTAATCATTGGCAATCCGCTACATCTATATTTTTCAATGCATGCAACCATAGAATACTATTGAAGGAATACGATACGGTAACATACGTATATGACGGTTTGTCAAAATGTCTGTTCCCGGTTTTGTTGATAAATCGCAATTCCATGCGTGCCGCCTCATGTTTGCCTTTAAAAAACATGACCTGCCTTACCTTGATGACGTGAAAACGTGGAAATTCTTCGTTACCTTTGGAAATCTTTCTAAAACCACAGGAATCGGCTAACGCACGTCGGTTTTCATTTGCTGTCGCTGGTACTATCTCCTGAACTGTGTGTCTCTGTGTGTGTGCCTCTCTGAATGCAATATGCTTCTTGACATGCCTCCTGATCAACGCTGTTTCCTTACTGTAAGCTACCAAAGCGTGAACACGGCTGTGCCTCTGAATGGGCTGCGGGTGGACCGGGGCATGTATTTGCAATTTTCGCTAGCGCGTTGCTAGCGGCGATCTAGCGCGTAAAATACGTAAAAAATTGAAAATTTGGGAATATGTGGAAACTGACAGACTTGTAAGAAAAGCTGGCAAGACATTCACGACATGGAGGCCATGGCTGTCAATCAAACCTAGCGCAAACCTAGCGGGTTTGCTAGCGCCGCCTTGCAGAATTGCTGAATTTAGTTGCGTGCCGCCTCATAACGAAGAGGAAAAAACAGTAGACCCAGATGAATTATCAACAACCAATACTAAACTTCTAAACAACTATTTTTGACAAATAGTCATATGTATACACCAGAAAATCTATTGAAAACATCTACAGTATTCTAGAGACAGATGGGTTATAAGCCAACTTGTAACATCTTATCCTCCGGGGGTACGGTTTATCATCCTTTTCCCTCTCGAAATAGCCATCAAATGGGCATGGCGTGCTGCATGATTCATGTGCCCTGCAGGAAAACACCACCATGAGTTGAGCTTTCTGGGCTGGATCTCCAGGTGTAAGAAATTGATCTGCTGATTTGGAGTTCAACGACTTTTGTTACCTCGGGTGCCTTGGTATCTAGAATCGCTGAATCGCAAAAAAAAAATAATTACCACTTTGACCATGATTTGTATTGATTTGTACCTTCTGAAACAACCCTGGCCACTTAGGTTTCTTGAGGAAAAATTGCTACAGATGGATACAATCTCTCCTGCCAACCTCCTTAGCCTTTCGATATCCTGCTTGCGGCGATCAACACCAACCCCCCAATCATAGGATAATTCACCATGGTTGGGATAATTCACCATGGTTCCAAAAGGTTGTTCTGGACGTTGCAACAAGTTGCAACAATGGTCGTAACAGCCACGTCCAAAGGTGGCATAGCATGTGTGAAGCAGCCGCCTCTGCGACGTCCCCAGTTGAAAGCAACCTCACACTATATAGTTTATAAAGCACAGAGAACCCTGCACAAAGATGCAAACAAATACCTCTTGGACAGGAAAGAAGAGCGTGACGGCAGTGGAATCTGAACAAAGAGCATTCAGGGGTTCCACCAGAGTTGAAAGAGCAAGAGCAACTGGCAAGAATGGCTTGAGATCAACAATGTCAACGGCAAAAATTAGCGTAGGTATGGCCCCCTGGCTGGGACCCTCGTCTTCGGCTTGCCGGCTCCAAAAAGGAAGTGATGCCCCATCGGTTCATCTCTCATGACAGACTCCCTGGGATCACCTGCATCAGATGCGACGATGATGGTCCAATTCATCTAAGAATCTACCCTCTGGTAAACATACAAAAAGCTATTGGAAATGGCCATTTATAGTGAGTTTTCCCATTAAAAATGGTGATTTTCCATAGCTATGTTAAATTACCAGAGGGTAATTCATTGGTGGCATTCAAAGGCTTGGCACCTTCGCCCAGGGGACCCAGGGGACCACGGAAGCTACAAGCTAGCAGTTTTCATGGGAGCAAGTGCCAGGTTTCATAGAGGTTGCGACAGAGCTTCTGTTCTGTCCCAGTGTGCATTGCCAGATTAAGTCTATCCGAGTCTCTCCGGGTTTCGGGAAAGCTGCAGTATGATGCAGGTGTTCTGTAGCTGCATTCCCCCCGAGATTATGGCAGGTGGTGGATTCCAGCCATGGACCAATGGACAGTTCATGTGCCCATAGGATTCCATGTGTCTTTATCTCGGATATCTCGCGATGACATTGATGATGTCTCTTCACAACTATCTGATGATGATCACACTGTTAAGGATCATGAAAATTAATGCCTGATGAGGCCGTCTCATCAGAAAACATCTGATAAAAACCTCTGACGATGCATCATAAATGATGACATAGTTTTTGGAAGCTGACCTGAAGCCTACTCCCAATAGCTGACCAATAGCAAGAACAAGTAGGCCAATAAAAACACAATCAGCAAGGGAATTTCAGAGGGAATTAAAAGAAAATGTGGATGGTTAAGATGTCTGACGGAAAAAACACGTTCCAAACATGTTCCCTCCGTGAGCTCATAGATGGAACGTCCACATCGCATGCATGTTCAGGCTCTGGTTGAGGTGGTGGCCAAGTGTGTGCAACATGGCTTTCGAATAATGACTCTCCTTTATTAAGGAGTCGCGCAATGCCTCGCTTTGCCCGGCCCCCAAAGTATTAAGTATCCCCGATCTGAGCTACCCCACAGTTTCGGAATCATCCGCCTTCGAGATGCTTTAAGCATCGTGAAGATGAACAAATTGGCCAGTCGTCAGTCATTTTCTGATGATTTCAATATGTTTCGAATTTTGACCCGGTTCTTTTCACCAGAAAAAACTCTTCAAATATGATCAAAAGCCAAGACACAGCCGTCTCCGGCTGCTCTCTGAGACATGATCACATAACCGGAGTGGTTTTTCCACCATCCCAGTGATTTCCAGTTAAGTTGGATCCCAGGTGATGGCGAAGTCCTTCAGTTCAAAAGATACCCCAGAGGTGCCACCAAAACAGGCGGAAATCCGAACATCGAACTAAACTTACAAAGAAAAATCTGAGCATTCTTGCGGCCACATCCCCATCTTGGACCATCCAATAAACTTCAATCACAAAAACCGCGCTTGTTCGGTGAATACCCATGATTTTATATGCCCCTCATGACTTTCCATGTGGGCGTTTCCAAGATTTTGCTGGGGACACGAATTGCTCAATCATTGGGTTTTTTTCTGGGTTTTGGCCAATCAACCTCTTTGATCAAACCCAAAGTATCTCAGAAAACTATGATTTTTTGTTGGAAAATCAGTGACTACTTGTGACTATGACCGATCTTAGATTCCTTTCATGGTTTGATATGTCACAAACAAAAATACTTTGGCCATCGCTCGCTTTCCGAAAGGTCCTTTTTAGGATTGATCCCAACAATTCCCAACACCCCAATTTCCCAACCGTGGAAATAAAGTTTACCTCTACAATTGGTTGGATAAATCAACCCTGCTAGTTATCCAATTAGCCCCGAAAAAAATATCCAATGAGTTGTCGAAACCAAACACCATCATCTAGCAAGAATGTTCATTGTCCCAGTGACATTCCCAATGACTCCGCACCTTGAAGCGTTGTCTCCTGGGGGCATATCCACCACGCCTGGGTGTGATGAGGTGCATCTTCCTGTCCGATTTTGTAAAGCTAAACGTGAACAAAAAACCTGGCTTTCTTCCTCTCATGAAATGCCAGCAGGCTTTATGGATATTCCAGTAGTCTTGGATTGGCTCAAGAGAGCCCACCCATGTATGGCTGGCAAATTACATGACATCTGAACGCACCAACCACTAGTGGGTAATGTTTTTTTAAGCGGTTCCAACAACCAAATATGTCTTTGGGATACTGTAGTAGTTAACCATCAATAGGATTAAATAAGATGATTTGCCAATGATTAACAACATGTTACACATATCACATATCTGAGTATCAATGGGACTAAAAACAGCTGACCACCAATAGGTAGGATGATTCTCCAATGATTGACCAAATATCGTATATAGTGGCATAGTTGATCATTGGGATGATCATATCCCATCCATTAGTATATTTTTTCATACATTATATTAACCCAAAGGACTAACAAATTTCATCTCCCATCATGAAATTCAGTCAACCGGCATGGGATGATTTCCAAAAAAAACCTGATTCTTGTGGTGAGATCATCCCAGGTCTCCCCAGGTCTCCCCAGATTTCCCTAGGTCTCCCAGCGGCGAATGCGACTGCTCCGCACGCGCTGGGGATGGGGGATGACACACTTCGTGCGTCGCTCCACCCTGGGTCGGCCGCTTAAGTCATGGGCGATCCCCAGTCGTCACCGGTGTCAATACGAAGTCAGGGTCTAATGAATGGTCATTCATGACTTGGATGATTTGGGGGTACCCCCCATTGACTTAGGAAACCTCCATATATCTGCCGTGGTGAAAACAAACTATAGAACTGTCAGAAAACAAACTGTTCAGGTAGGTGAATTAAGTCATTTATGGCAATTTTACTGGGGGAGATGATGATTGACCAACGGCTTTTGGGGTTCTGATGAGAGTATGACTATCCCATACCCAGTTTTATGATGGGAGCCCGAAGCGATGCCATGCGAAACGGAGATTTTGGGGTCCCAAATGTTTGGTTTCAGTTGCTGGAAGCATACTACCAACAGTATTGGGGTGCTATCACGTGCTATCAATAGCAATGCAAGAATGGGGATAGGCAACGGCAACTGATTCTAATCATTAGAGTCTATGTCGCATTAGTTAGAATTGCGGGTTTGTTTGGAAATTGAAATAGAGTAGCCCAAAATCCGAATGGATGTCACCATGTTTCCTATGAAATTTGCAGTTTTGGCGTATACCCCGTTTCCGGAGAAACTGGTGTGGATAGCCCCAACATTTGGGTTGGGTGTACACAACCTGATCAGGTTGCCCAAAGAGACGCTGTTTCTCATATGCATGTTCAGCTGGTTTTGGCACAAATTCCTTGATCTTTGTTGCGTCTTTCCACTGCACACATCGTAAATGCCTTGGGACTTACGGAATGGAAGTCGACAAATGCCGTGTGTTTCGTTTGAACACCAAGTGTATAAGAGGTGAAGATTCAGGAGGTTTGTCTGTCTGAAAACAGGACACCCATGGACACCCCTAAATTCACAGGATAATGGAGATTTCCCCATTAAAATGGCCATTTGGAAGTTAAACTACACACGTTCAGACAAAACCCCCCAAAAAAAAAATTGGTTAGCTATGTCTCCCATGAAGTATCCTCAAAAACAGCATCCCAGTCAGCCACCATGTTCAGTACTTAAATCACCATCATAGTTTATTAATGTTTATTAAATCCTGTGTTTTTTAAGATTAAATCATCATACCATTAGTGCCATAAAAGGCGGTGGCGGAAGTTTCAAAGATAGGACACTATAGGAGAGGTGAGTTGTTGTGTTGCATGGATGGCAGAGCGAATCCACTGATGGACCGAAAGGTGGTCGAAGCTGTGTTTTTTGGAGTCCTTGCAGTGGTTGCAGAGGTCACCTCACCCACAACTGCTGGATGTAGTGTGGTGTAGCGCAGCTGTAATTGGAATTGTAGGGTAGTGGAGCTGTAGCTGTAGTGTAGTGTAATGTAGTGTAGTTAGTTGTACTTGTAGCTGTAGTTGTAGTTGTAGTGTAGCGTAGTGTAACTAGCGTAGCGTAGTATAGTGCAATGTAGTGTACTTGTAGTTGCAGCTGTAGTTGTAGTGTAGTGTAGTGCAAAATGGTGTAGTTGCAGTTGCAGTTGTAGTTGTGGTGTAGTGTAGTTAGTGGTGCAATTAGTGTAGTGTAGCGCAATGTAGTTGTAGTTGTAGCCGTCGCTGTAATAGTAGCAGTAGCGGTAGCAGTAGCAGTAGCAGTAGCAGTAGTAGTTGTTGTTGTCGTCGCAATAGAAGTGGTAGCAGTAGTGTTGTGTAGTTGTACTTGTCTATCTATTTTTTTTATCTATTTATCTGCCTATCTGCAAGCTTGAAAACGAAACTATGCTGCGAGACTTCCTCAATGTTTAAACTTGACAACATCAAAAACGCAGCAATTCTGCAAGACTTCCTCAATTTTTGAGCTCGACAACGTCAAAAAACGAAGCAATTCTGCGAGAATTCCTCAATTTTCTAAGTTGACAGCACCAAAAACGAAGCAATTTCTGCGAGACTTCCTTCAAAAATGGAAACTTGAGTGCAGAGCTGACGGCCTCGTAGCAATGCCTTTTGCGATTTTTCCACTCCATCTGTCTAAAGAACTGCGCTTGCCACGAAAAAGTGAGGCCAGGTCATACGAAATGCTGCACCTGTCACACAAGATCATCTTAGCAAACCTGAAGATCTGATGCTCCAAAATGCAAGCCCTCTCAGGAAATCAGCGCCCTGACCTCCTAACATCTCTGATGAACATGTCTCTTGTATTGCGCATGCCACGCGAAATGCATCTTGGCAGATCCTCTTCAAATGTCCAACGCCTGCTAATGTTTTTGAAACTGCTACAAAACCCGCACGTTTTTCTCACTTTTGGGAAGGTGTTGAACCCCTTGCGCCTGACACGCGAAACGACATCTGAACGTCCAAAAGTGGTCTAAGATGGTGCAAGCATGTGGTGCTCTTAACATGTTGGCTTCGAAATGTGCTCCGCGCCACAACACAACAGCGTGCACTTTTTCGACATCTCAACTTCCAAAAGTGCTCCGAAGCTGGTGTGCTTTGCACATTTTGACTTCGACATGTGCTTCGCACCACAACAGCGTGCAATTTTTCATCTCTCATCTGGCCAGATGGCTCCGCACCCGCCGCTTTAGCGAGCCTACTTTTCGAAAATCATTGGAAAAACACAGTGTTTCGATACTTTGCTACTTTTTCGCGCACCTGCATCTTCTGTCTTCTGCCTCTTTCTCTTCTCTGATCTTCTTTCTTCTTCTCTTCTCTTCTCTCTGCCTCGGCCCACCTCTGCTTTTTCATCTGTCAATGTTGTCGGAAGTTTGACTTCTAAACTTCCTTCGATCAAATCATTTGATCTCGTATTAGATCATATTAAATCATATAAAATCCCCATTTCTTGCTGAGAACTGCCCAAAAAGGTGGAAGGTTTCACCTTTGACCAAACCCCCAATTTGGCCGGGCGCCTGCACTTGTTGAGACTCTGAGCTTTCATAGCCATCCTGCAGTGGCGACCGAAACTAAATAAAGGGAACTATGGGGAAAATGATGGTGAAGCCGAGGATTTCTGGAAAATTCATGAAAATTCTAAGATTGTTGAAATTGTTGATGGGATTTTTAGAGGAATTCAAGTGAATTTATTGGAATGCTATGTTATTCTTTGGGAATAAAATTGGGAACTAAGGTGATGAATCAAGAATAATGATCCAATTTATGGAGGGAAAAAGTACTGGATCTTTGCGACCCGGCAAGGTTTCAAGGTCCCACGGTCCCACAAGGTGCAAAAAATTGGATATGCATAACCAACATCCAACGATACTTGAAAGGAAAAAACCATAAGAAACATATGGCTTTGATCTCCCATGAACAGGGATCCCCTCCAAATTTCACAGTCTCTATGGAACATCATCAATTTTTAGTAGGTCAATCATCTATGGTATTTGAATGGGCAATGTTTCATAGCTATGTCGGCCTCATGGAGGAGGCGGGCGCGAAGATCAGCATGTTGGAGGAAGACATGGAGGCCTCTCCAGTCACTGGCGCCATGGTTCTTTCAGGAAGAGATTCCCTACCAGATGGATGGTTGACTGCTTGGTGGCGAACTACCCACGGCGAGTTAAAGTGGGTTAGTTCACCCCAGTTATAAATGGGATTTTTGTAGGGTTAATCCACATCAATCACTGGGGTGAACTAACCCACTTTAACTCGCCGTGGCTAGTTCGCCAGCAAGTGGGATGTGTTGTTCCATTCACTGGAGATCATAGGAGAAGAATGTGCAAACTGCACCAACGCAAACTATATGTTATATCCATTATGATTGCCATTTTGCCCCAGCATTATATACCAATGATATATATGTATATATATATGTATATATATATGTATATATATATGTATATATATATTTATGTATGTGCACCCATGATGCTGTACACCAACCATTGTTGAGTTTTAAACCCCTATTCCTGGATGGTCTGGATATCAGGGTTTATATCCACATTGTGCACCCATTATATTTATGTACGTACCATTATAGCAATATCCAAAATATACACCGGGCTCGCTGCTTGGTTGAAAATCGCCATGTTGCCCCGGGTTATCACCCTGTTCTCCTGGCCATAACCTGAGGTATACCACCATAGCCTTTGGAAATATGCCGTTTTCCCATCTGATTATGCTAATTGGTTGATAGGTTTCCCTACCATGGCTTATCACCATCCCCCCCAAAAAAAATGCAGTATAATATAGCAAATGCCCAACAAATTACCCTCTGGTAAACTAACATAGCTATTGAACATAGCCATTTATAGTTGATTTACCCATTAAAAATGGTGGATCTTTCCATAGATATGGGTGCATCAACTATTTACCTGGCTATGTTCAATTTTTTTTCCATTTTTAACGGGTGAAAATCACCATTTATTAGTTATGTTAGTTTACCAGAGGGTAACCAATCAACCATCCCCAAGATTCCCCCAAGATAAATCGGCACCTCGCAGCGTCGCCAGTGCTTGCCGTAGGTTCACATCCTTCCGTAGCCATGGTGAAGCCTCAGGGGATTGGGTCGACTTGGGGTTGAAGAATGAAACAAAGGTATTGGGAAACTCTCTATATATATATACATGTGATCATCAAATATTTGATTCAGATATTTGACATCCAATAATGTTCGAATTTCTATCTCCAACTAGCTCCCCTTTTTTATTCTGAAATATTGAAAACAGATACCAAACTAGCTCCGAACTTCTCCCATTAAAAAACCACTGGAATTTTTCAAACATCGATATGGGGTTCTCTGAAATGGTGGAAAATCCAGCCTCAATCTGCCTATGTTTTAAAAAAAAGGGGCCCCGGTGAGGCTTTCTCGTGCCGAAAAAACATCCAACCATAGGGAACAGTCAATGTGAACCATCAAATTTGATGGGCTTCCTGGCTTCCTCCCTTTTCAGACACGTCCAGGTTGCAAAAAACAATCGGAAATATGATCAAACATAGTGGCTTAACATGGCTTAACTCAGGGTAACCATCTCAAGTAAATCGTTTTACCGTTAGAAATAAAAGCATGACTCAAATTGGAGAATAGGATCATAATGGGGAATAGAGATGAGCTGGGTCAAATGATTAAAGGACAACATAGATACTGTCTAGAAAAAAACGCTAATCTGTGTCCTGTTGAAACCAACTCTGAGGCAGGTCAATCTATGATTCCTGAGTTCCAATGATTGCTTCCTCAACTGATCATAAACAAAGATTATATGGGTAGGGGGTCCGTTCACCTTTGGTGCCTAGCCAGACCCATTTTCAAATCGCAGCTGTATTTCTAAACATATTTTGGTAGCTTAAATGGACGATGTTCCATCAGAAATAGGAATGGCATAGGCAAACCATCTAGGAAAAAATCATCTATAAAATGGTTGTCTGAAAATACTTAAAACATGGTACCCCAAATTCCCACGGCTCATCATCAGTTTCCAACTAAACTTGCCATGAATTCGGGTCTGCCAATTTTTGCACACACACAAATTGCTTAAAGTTCGTTAGGTAGATATATCATGATATACATATTATATATATACATACAATTATCTCATTATATCCCTATATCAAGCTTATATAATATGCCATTTCATGAAATCCACACGTGTCATGGATATCCCCTGAATTCCCAGGTTGTTCATTGCTGGGCCGGCGCACCGCCACGGCCTCTTCCATGCGGCTGCCAGCATTGCACTGCTCGCCCAGCGTGTACCACTGCTGGACCTCGTCAAGTCACCCTGGCACCCTGGGGCCCTTGGTTTGCGAAAAACGATGGTGAATGATTGTTAATGATGGTCAATGATTGTTAATAATGGTTAATGATTGTTAATGATGGTCAATGATTGTTAATAATGGTTAATGATTGTTAATGATAGTCAATGATTGTTAAAAATGGTTAATTATTGTTAATGATGGTCAATAATTGTTAATAATGGTTAATGATTGCTAATGATGGTTAATGATTGTTAATCATGGTCAATGATCGCTAATAATGGTTAATGATTGTTAATGATGGTTAATGATTGTTAGTGACGGTGAATGATGGTTAATGATGGTTAATGATGGTTAGTGATTGTTAATGATGGTTAATGATGGTGTATGATGGTGAATGATTGTTAATGATGGTTAATGATGATTAATGATTGTTAATGATGGTTAGTGATGGTTAATGATTGTTGATGATGGTTAATGATGGCTCATGAGTATTAACGATAGTTAATGATGGCTAATCAGTCTTAATGATGGTTAACGATGGTTAATGATTGTTAATGACTGTTAATGATGGTTAATGATTGTTAATAATGGTTAATGATTGTTAATGATGGTTAATCAGGGTTAATGGTTGTAATGATTGTTAATGATTATTAATGATGGTTAATGATGGTTAATGATTGTTAATGATGGTTAATGATTGTTAATGATGGTTAATGATGGTTAATGATGGTTAATGATGATTAATGATGGTTAATGATGGTAAATGGTTAATGATGGATAATGACGGTTAATGATGGTTGATGTGATGATTCTTAATGATGGTTAATGATTGTTAATGATTATTAATGATGGTTAATGATGGTTAATGATAGTTAATGATGGTTAATGATGGTTAACGATGATTAATGATGGTTAATGATTATCAATGATGCTTAATGATGGTTAATGATGGTTAATGATGGTTAGTGATTGTTAATTATGGTTAATGATGGTGTATGATGGTTAATGATGGTTAATGATGGTTAATGATGGTTAATGATGGTTAATGTTTGTTAATGATTGTTAATGGTGGTAAATGATGGTTAATGAGTGTTAGTGACGGTAAATGATGGTTAATGATTGTTAATGATGGTTAATGTTGGTTAATGATTGTTAATCAAGGTTAATGATGGTTTATGATGGTTCATGATTGTTTATGATGGTTAATGATTGTTGATGATGGTTAACAATGGTTAATGATTGTTAATGATGGTTAATGATTGTTGATGGTGGTTAATGATGGCTCATGAGTGTTAATGATAGTTAATGATGGCTAATGAGTGTTAATGATGGTTAACGATGGTTAATGATTGTTAATGATGATTATTGTTTGTTAATGTGTGTTAATGCGTGTTGATGATGATTAATGATGGTTAATGATGGATAATGATGGCTCATGAGCGTTAATGATAGTTAATGATGGCTAATGAATGTTAATGATGGTTAACAATGGTTAATGAATGTTATTGGTTGTGAATGTTTGTTAATGCGTGTTAATGATGGTTAATAATGGTTAATGATGGTTAATGATTGTTAATAATGGTTAATGATGGTTAATGATGGTTAATGATTGTTAATGATGGTTAATGATGGCTCATGAGTATTAACGATAGTTAATGATTGTTAATGATGGTTAATGATTGTTGATGATGGTTAATAATGGCTCATGAGTATTACTGATAGTTACTGATGGCTAATGAGTGTTAATGATGGTTAACGATAGTTAATGATTGTTGATGGTGGTTAATGATTGTTAATTATGGTTAGTGATGGTTTAATGATGCTTAATGGTGGTTCATGATGGTTATTGATGTTTTATGGGCCAATGGATGTCTTTTTACCCACATATGGTTAAACAGCTAAACTTGACAGGTAATAAGTCAGACGTATCTTCTATTGTTAAATCATTAGTTTGGATCTATTGATATCTTGTTCTTCTTTAATTAATGTGGCTTAAAAAATAATAAACTAGCCATATGGGAATGGTTTCTACATGTTTATACCACCTATGTATGGTGATTTGGGGGATGGTTTATTATTGTTTTAACCACATTATGTTAAATGACAAATGCCCTTGAAGGTATTGATGCTCTACAAATTCTGTAATCTTCTTCACTTTGGAGCCATTTTTTTGACTAATACCAGTACATTGTTCAATCTCCTTAGTACGGAGATACACAATTTCATCGTTATATAGATTGAACAAGATTGAACCAATAGCCCAAGTCTCAATTTGAATGCAACCTCTTATCTACAACCCACATCCATTATCTCAATTTGATGTTAAACATGGATTTTTCTTGGTGTTCCATGGTGTTCCCACCGGTTCCCCGGTCCTCCCCATGTTTTCAACGCCGGGCTCCCGAACGCAGTCCTCCACCGCCTCCGCGCAGTCCGAGACGCTCAGCTCCTAGCAAATCCGAGCGCAGGGAGGCCTTAAGAAAGGTCACCGGGGGGAGAAAACAGATGGTTTTTATCTGGTTTTATCTGGTTTTATATGGTTTTATCTGGTTTTATATGGCTTTATATGGTTTTATCTGGTTTTATATGGTTTTATATGGTTTTATCTGGTTTTATATGGTTTTATCTGGTTTTATATGGTTTTATTTGGTTTTATATGGCTTTATCTGGTTTTATATGGTTTTATCTGGTTTTATCTGGTTTTATATCTGGTTTTATATGGCTTTATCTGGTTTTATATGGTTTTATCTGGTGGTTTTATCTGGTTTTATGGCTTTATCTGGTTTTATCTGGTTTTATCTGGTTTTATCTGGTTTTATCTGGTTTTATATGGTTTTATCTGGTTTTATATGGCTTTATCTGGTTTTATCTGGTTTTATCTGGTTTTATATGGTTTTATCTGGTTTTATCTGGTTTTATCTGGTTTTATGGCTTTATCTGGTTTTATATGGTTTTATCTGGTTTTATTTGGTTTTATCTGGTTTTATCTGGTTTTATATGGCTTTATCTGGTTTTATATGGTTTTATCTGGTGTTATATGGTTTTTTCTGGTTTTATATGGTTTTATATGGTTTTATATGGCTTTATCTGGTTTTATATGGTTTTATCTGGTTTTATCTGGTTTTATCTGGTTTTATATGGTTTTATATGGTTTTATCTGGTTTTATATGGTTTTATCTGGTTTTATATGGTTTTATTTGGTTTTATATGGCTTTATCTGGTTTTATCTGGTTTTATCTGGTTTTATATGGTTTTATCTGGTTTTATATGGCTTTATCTGGTTTTATCTGGTTTTATCTGGTTTTATATGGTTTTATCTGCTTTTATATGGTTTTATCTGGTTTTATATGGTTTTATCTGGTTTTATATGGCTTTATCTGGTTTTATATGGTTTTATCTGGTTTTATATGGTTTTATCTGGTTTTATATGGTTTTATCTGGTTTTATATGGCTTTATCTGGTTTTATATGGTTTTATCTGGTTTTATATGGTTTTATCTGGTTTTATATGGTTTTATCTGGTTTTATATGGTTTTATCTGGTTTTATATGGTTTTATCTGGTTTTATATGGTTTTATCTGGTTTTATATGGCTTTATCTGGTTTTATATGGTTTTATCTGGTTTTATATGGTTTTATCTGGTTTTATCTGGTTTTATCTGGTTTTATATGGCTTTATCTGGTTTTATATGGTTTTATTTGGTTTTATCTGGTTTTATCTGGTTTTATCTGGTTTTATATGGTTTTATCTGGTTTTATATGGTTTTATCTGGTTTTATATGGCTTTATCTGGTTTTATCTGGTTTTATTTGGTTTTATCTGGTTTTATCTGGTTTTATCTGGTTTTATCTGGTTTTATCTGGTTTTATATGGTTTTATATGGTCTTCCATGGCCTTGTTGAGGTGTGGAAACTTCAAACATTGTGACTTTTCACGTGATATGAGAATCGTGTCCACTTTGAAGCAACAGAAAAAATCAGTCTCACATTCATCTCAGCTATCCACATCTAACATCATCTGGGGATCTAACCCTCCAAAAATGCCGTTCAACATGCGGGCCGCGCGAACCTCCCGCAAGGACACCACGGCACGAAGCAAGTCATCTAAGACTTTGGCCAAGTCCTGGGGGAAACGCTGGAGCGACTGGTGGTGATTTTTTCGCCATATCTGATGATGGGCTGAATGATTGGCTGAATGATTCAGCAACTATATACTATATATACTATTAATATACTATATATACTTACTGTATCTGACTTTGGTAGTAAACTATCAAGTAAATTAAAGATGCTACTGTAGGGTAAATGCTGCTTTTAAAGGGTCAAATTTAATATAGCCGTTGCTTTGGAAGCCATGTCCGATTTCTGGGTAGTCCTATGGTAGTCCTCACCTTGACAAATCTCAACTGGAACGGGTCCACTCAGTGGGGGGCGTTCCACTCATCTTGGGCTTCCGAGGCGTTCTACAAGATATTACAAGAATGGTTATGGAGCCACCTTTTTTAGAGCTTTTTGCTTCTCAACTGCTGTCGTGATAAATCACAAGATTTAATGATCACCTGTTTGGGAACATGCTTCACATCTGGTGCATGCTGCATACATGGCTAACTTGTCTTGAGGATCATCGCTTGCGACTCCGCAAAACCCGCCCCAGCAAGATCTTTGGGTATGAACTCTGCCACAGCGTATGAGAAAAAATCAGGAGTCTGACTTTATGACGACAATTCATTGCAGTATTCCCCCCACACACACAAACACATACATGACTGTAAGTATCTGTAACAATTCAAAAGGATAGCACTCTGACATGTTGTTTGTGCCCTTCCCCACTTAACAGCTTTGCCAGCATACATGGGGGCCTCCATGTAATCCCTGCAGTTGGGTCATCCAAGTTTATCAGACTTCATTTACTGGGTGGTTTCAACACCCTTAACAAATATCGGCCGAATTTGTGTCAACATCTAGGTAGGTCGGTAGAATGGAACATGTTTGAACTATCATTTTATGATCATATGGTTGAAAACTCTTTAGCAACTCATTAGCTCCCGATTCAATAGGGAATATGGATACCCCCAATTCCTTAGATCTCTCCTAATCACTGGATAGAAACATCTGTGGCACATCCACCTTGTGATGATTTTCCCAGCAATAGCTATGGAGCTGATGACACCAGCAGTTATGTGAAACCACCAACCAGTCATGGTAGTCCCATCTGCCTAATATTAAACACACCCTAAATGGTCCCACATATGTTAAAATTCCTACCAAACCATGGTTTCTGGGAGGGGCTTAATATTAGGGACAAGGGATTCCTTTGGTTCCCTGTTCCCAACTCCAGCAACGCCTTCACAAAGGTCTCGCGCAAAGTTTGCAGCAAGGTCATGAGCTTCGCAACACGATCCATCAGCACCTGCTCATGGGCTCTTCGTCGATGGATGTAAATGGACAAGCCATCCTGCATTATGAGGTAACTATGAAACATGATGAAACCCTGGTAAATCATAGGATACACGGATAAACCATTCACAAAGCAGTGCAGGATGGCTTGTCCATGCACGGTATCAATATTGATGAGGTCCAAAAATGAGGTGTACCCGGGCAGTTGCCATTTGATGAAAAGGGGCAATGATCATCAACCAAGCCATTTGTGCCATGGTCATCAGTGGGAATCCGCCATAGAAAGGCCACGATCATTCCCTGGAAATGGTGCTACGGACCTACCACAATGTACCCCAATAATCCTCAATATGTGATAGTGTCATACAATCTGGTTGGTGGTTTCAACCCCTCTGAAACATATTAATTAGTCAGATTGGATCATCATCCCAACTATTGGGGAAAATAAAAAATGTTCCAAACCACCAACCAGTAATATATAATATAGTATAAGTCACCCCAGATCCCGTTAATAAGTCACCGCCACATGGAAACGACTACACTCTCTAAGTCGACCCAAAGAAATTTAGCCAGAGGAAAAAAGAGAGCAGTCATCATGACGGAATGAGATGCGCACACCAACCTGGACGACTTAAAACAATGCGGCACGACTTACAGCCGGTATCCTGTATGGGTATACAATCCAGATTTTGGTCATGGCACATACCCTCTGGTAATTTAACATAGCTATTGAAAATGACCATTTATATCCATTTATAGTGGATTTTCCCATTGAAAATGGTGATGTTCTATAGTTTTTTGTATGTTTACCAGAGGGTATACCACTCCCGATTTTATGGTTCTGCCCTTGAGAAACCTGAAGACCCAGACTCAAGTCTCGAGGCTCCCCACGCTAACTCTGTCGCCATCTACAGCTCCTGGAAACCCAAAGCATGCTGATGCAACGGTTGGGTAAAAACGGGATTCCCTTGTAGTGGATGTTGATGATAATAATATAATCCCCATGATCTAGAGGGTAGTATAACATAGTACAACCATCTATAATATCCTATAATCATCAACCACCACGTGTTGGGGACACTACTCAATTGACAACACAGGGCCATGGGGGTATCAAACCAACGATGGTGAGATAGAATGGGATAACCAACAATCCCATAGTCTGGGCTGATCCGGAATACCCCACTTTGTGTCAACGAAAACGTGGAAGGCATGATGTTAAACATATTGTTAAACAGTAGGATTTGGGGACACCCTATTCTTCTTCGACAAAACGATATCAACACAATCCTGCAGTTTCTTTCATCATCTTCCATCCATTTTTCCCATCTGTCCTGCATCTGTTTTGCGCGACAGCACCTACCACAAGAGGAGTTTGCAAACTGGAAATGTTGGGCATCAACAACAGAATCAGCATGCTGAAATATGCTGAACCTATGCTGATGCCTTCCAAGAAATGGGGAACCTAGCAGAATCTCCGCACCACATACCACATATACCACTACGCGCCAACCGCCAATGGCTACACCTGAGCAGTGTGACCTAAACCCCGGGGCACTCCATAAAATACTGTACTGCTTCGTTAAGAACCGGATGGCAGTTCCAGATGATGACAGTCCCCTAGAAACCTATATACTATATCTGGTTGGTGGTTGAGCCTACCCCTCTGAAAAATATGAAAGTCAATTGGGATTATTATTCCCAATATATGGAAAAATAAAAAATGTTCCAAACCACCAACCAGATATACATTTATAATATATATATATACCAGGCAATGTCACCATGTACCCTCTGCTAAACTAACATGCTGCTATGGAAATCACCATTTTTAAATATGTTTAATGGGAAAATCCACGAACCAAATCACCATGTTCAATAGCAAACTGTTAGTCATTACCAAAGGGTATCATCCCCTATGCTAATCATTCATCAACCACCTTTCGAGACATTGGGGACCATCAAAGCCACCTTGATGATGAGGTGAATGGCATCCCGCTCACCTAGGGGCGAAGGGGAAGCAACAAGAGCTTGCCATGACGTGTCACGAAAGATGATAGTGTGACAACCTTAAAGGACCAAAAACAGTGACCATAGTGAATCCCAATCTAGAAACCACACAGAACGGGTCCTTTCTGTTCTGTTCAGGAGGCAAACTGCCTACTTTCTGTGGTCAAAACAATGTCGGTGAAACATGAGTTCAAACCCAATTTCTACAGGTGACCATCTGCATTTTTCTGGTTGAAATCACACCCCCATGTTTGATCAAATTTGTATATCCCCATCTTTGGTTGTATTTAAAACCGCCTTTCTTTCTCCGCCACAATGCCTTTTTTGTTGGATGAATTCCCATTGAACTAGCCCACAACACACCCATCCGGCCCGCAGGGTTTTGCCACTTCGCCATAGTTTGCCGAGTAACTAGTACTCCAAGTTTCCTGCCTCACATTCGCTTGACTCAACCTGTCCAGGACATCCGGAAGTATCGTTTTCCCCTATGTTTTGATGGGTCAAACCCTACTTTTCGGCTGAATGGGGAGAAAATGAACATCCACCAGACTGGTGGTGAGTCAAAACCTGTGTTTTTTTCGGTATATTATGAATGGAGAGATGCACATCCAGCCATTACCAGCTCTTTTTTCATGTGAACTGTCAGGGCGCTGATCCATAGATGCCATAGATGCCAGAGTTTGACAGGTAACGACAGGCACTCATTACCCCAGCGTGGTGGAAAACGACGATGGTACACCATGGGGGGGTTGAAATCTTCTGAACACAAATGCCAAAATCATATTTCTGCTCAGCTTTTGAAGGGGTTTCATGGGAAAAATGGAATGGAAAGTCAGGAAAATTGGATAGGTTGCCGCGTAAATGGATTTACACATTGTCAGAACGTGTCCAGAAACTCCCTGGTCATTCTTTTTAGGGAAAATCTGAATCATGGCTTCATGTATGTTCCCTTCCATTTTGTTGATTACATCCTATGAATAACCCTCCAGTAATCAAACATGGCTAGCTGGACAATCCCACATTTCGTTCGATGATTTTCCCAGCTGTAAACCTCCATGTATGGAGGATATTCTTGCCAGCTAGGTTTGATGACACCGGAGGCTCTGTATATGGAGGTTTCCTAAGTCATGGGGGGTACCCCCAAATCATCCAAGTCATTAGACTTGAGTATTGAAATATTGAAACCTATGGTTTTTGGGGATCCCCATGACTTCAGAAACCACCATCGTTTTTTCGGTAAATCCTGTTCTATCCCCAGATGGAAAATCCCCGGCAAAAACGACCATTTCTGATGGTTCACTCCCCATCAACTACCCAAGGCTCCAAGGCTCCAAGGCTCCACGCTCTTTCTCTATGGCCTTCGCTGCGTCCACCACCTCCGCGATGACGGCGAGGACGGCGAGCGACGGCGAGTGTTCGCGTTGTTGCGTTCAGAGATAGGCATCGAAATGGAACCCCATGGCCAAACATTCCATATGTTAAACATCTTTATCTTTGATTTTGAATCATACACATACCATTAAAAAAAAAACTGTTTGTCTATGTTCATAATACCTATATGAATCATGTACATACACACTATATATTATATATAATATATACACTGTAGGATCCCCCCAAACGACAGTCGTCAACCAAAAAGCCATGTGTCACTGACTGGGCCACCGGACTCGCCAAGCCGCTGAGTCGCGGACCGGCCTGGGACTGGGATGGCACGAACTCACCATGGATTTCACCAAGGCCATGGATTTTTAGAGGTCAGTTATCACCCAGGTCTCAATCAGTTTCTAAACAGTTTCTTCCCTGGTGGCTAGAAATCAATCATGATTCATGATTAATGGGTTGATGCCATCATTCTCGAACATGCAAGAATATCACAGAATATCTGTGTTTTCTTGAACATGGGATGAAAGATCCATTTTTGGGAAATTCATGGGAATTAATGAACTTAAACAACTCAAATTAGATAATGTTAGATTATTGGGGATTTCAGAAGTTCTGCGATGTTGGCGAAATAAATTACAGTATTGATCTGCAATCCAAATGTTCAACTATTGCAGGACCACCTCCCAAAGATAATCATACATCGAGGATATCACACAAGTCAGCCCAGCACTTCAGGTAGTTCATTCTAACTAAGAATCCTTCTACTCAGTATGTGGGTATTGTCCGCATCAAAGCAAAAATATGCAGTCGCAGTCTCTTTGACTCTTTGCAGCATAACCAAAGCTGCTTACAGCTTCCATTATACAACTCTTCCCCACACCAAAGTGTGGGTGATATTCCCATTGTTGCTTGAATTGTTGATGACATCCCATTTCTACCAATTGAAAGACTACTCCATCATTTAAACGGTGTCCAGCAGTTGCTCCTAATTAAGACACTTATATATAGCATATGAGCTAAGCAATACTTCTTGGATATATCCCCGCCATTAGAGAGCATTTGTATGCATGTGTGTTATTAGTAGCAAAAAACAAGAACCCCCACTAATATCCACTAATTATTAATCCATTCATCACCAAAAAATCAATGTGAAAATCATGCATCACGCTGCCTGCACAGCCTCTGAAGGTCGATATCGAAATTCACTCAGATTCATCTAAAAAACTATCACGTGCTTGGAAAACTCTTAGTTTCTTGATGTTTCTTGGTTCCCCTTTTCAATAGAGTCTAACAGTGACTCATCCCTCTTCCAAAACAATTAAACACCCCCTCGAAACTGTGGTTCTTTGTTGGAATTTACACATGTGGGACCCTGAGGGTGAAAAAAACATGAACGGGGGAATGGGACCATTTCCATATCCTTCATATCCTCTCGTCATCAAATATGGTTAGCTGACACATCCACCATTTATAATATTTATAGTTGACTTCCCCGCAAACCTGTATTTTGAAGGATTTTCCAGCTAGCCATGTTGGATGACCCTCTGTTAGGCTATCAACAGTTCAACAGTTTTAGTATGGTGATTAACAGTTAAAGTTATATCCCATGAAATCTCAGTATCTCATGATGCTTAAATCCCATCAAAAACCCTCCAAGCAGCTGAAATTCCGATCAAATCACTTCTATCCTATCAAAAAAGTCACTTTTCACAGGCGAATTGCCATCAAACACCCCTCCAAGCAACTTCGAAACGTGCAACCTGTCAGTTATATCCCATTAAAATCCATGAAATCTCCATTTTTCAGGGTTACCCTCTGGTAAACTAACATAGCTATTGAAAATGGCCATTTATAGTGGATTTTCCCATTAAAAATGGTGATTTTCCATAGCTATGTTAAATTACCAGAGGGTAAATCATGTTAAATCCTCATCTATCCCGAAACAAACTTCCTGTTCCACGCATTTCCACGCCCCGCACCTCAGCCGCGACGTCATCTCGGCAGCAGCGTCCGACAACAAGTCCAAGGTCTGAGTTGGCCTGGAGTTACCCCCAAAAAATATGGGGATTTTAGCTACAGGATGGGGCCCCCTAGATAGCTAAGTTATGCTAAGTTGGTTTATAAGTGGCTTAACTATGGTTTATTGTACTTATAACTATGGTTAATGGGGTTTATAAACCAACTTATAACTGGGGGGCCCCACCTTGCAGAGTCGGCGGATTTACCACGGATTTTACCACAAAGAGAATGGTTTTTATTGCCCCTAAAAAACATCCTTGAACATGGTCATCATGGTCATGTTCACAACTCAAAATGCTTGTTTTTTCATTGAAAATGGATGAAAATGGGCATTTCACATGGATTTAAGCACGAAAAAGGTTGCATTCAATGGCACAGTTTTTAGGGACAGGATCGCTTCACCTTGACAGGTCGAAGTAGCTTTTAGAGACATATCGGGACTTGGGAGATCCCTCCATAGGTGGAAGACAAGAAAAAACATTAATGAAATTGTTAATGGTATGTATATAGTTGTAGATACAAATGTAATTGTAAGTATTTATATATATATATATATGATTACTATATATATATATAGATAGATATAAGATATACCATTAAATGGGAATTTCATTAATATTCATATTTGAGAAAAAAACAATCGATAACCAGGCCATTCACAGTCCCTTTTCTCCACCTTGGTTTGAGCTCACTTAAGCATCTTAAGCTTTGAAATGCTCGCTTACCAGGCCTGGAATGCGCATGTTGAATAATTGCAATGTATATGTGTGCTTTTATCACCGGATATCACCGTGCTCTTTTGGAATCATAACATACAGGTAACCCGGGTCTTACCATCCAAATCTAGGCGATGTCCTCTAGATGTTCCCTTGGACCACTTGAGCTTCCCACCAGCCGCTGCCCGACGTCTCTAAGTCAACGCCAAAGTTGGCATGGCTCAAGTAGATCTGCCTGGGATTTTAATGGAAATCCAACGGGGAAAACTGATCAATGGATCTGAGCAAACAATGGTTGGATACCACCAAAAAATCCGCCGACCCCTGCCGACAGCAGGGGGAGCGCGTCAGAGAAGAGATTACAAGCAACAAGTGTTGTGCAGTGCAAGTGAGGGGCAAGCGAGGGGGGGACAGAAAGGGAAGCCAGGTGCAGAGTAAGAAGCCCAAAAAAGGAAGCGAGAAAGGAGGGGCAGTCTCAGCGAACGTAGCGGGGCAAGCGAGGGGGGGACAGAAAGGGCAGCCAGGTGCAGAGTAAGAAGCTCAAAAAAGGAAGCGAGAAAGGAGGGGCAGTCTCAGCGAACGTAGCAAGCGAAAGAAGCACGAAACAAGAAGTTAGAAGCAAGAATGCAGAAGCAAGAGTAAACGAGCGACAGAAAGTAATGTTTGGCACTCTGGGCTACGGGCCGCGGGCCCAATCCGTCCTTCACTGCCATGGTGTTTTAGCCCTGCGAGGAGGTCCCTTGACCGGAGCTGTGCCGCACGAAAGCCAGCTGTCAGACAATGCAGGCAAGTTGGCAGTTGGCAGTGCAGGAACGCAGGGAAAAGCTAGGTTTGAGCTGCAAGACGACGCAGGCAAAGTGGCAGGGAAAAGCAAGGTTTGAAGCTAGTTTCGACTTGACCGGAGCTGTGCCGCACGAAAGCCAGCTGTCAGACAATGCAGGCAAGTTGGCAGTTGGCAGTGCAGGAACGCAGGGAAAAGCAAAGTTTGAAGCTAGTTTCTAGGCACTGCAGAAAGCAACGTTTGGCAGTATGGGCTGCCGGCCGCGGGCCCGATCCGTCCTTCACTGCCATGGTGTTTGAGGCCTGCGACAGGGTCCTTGGACCCGAGCTGACGCCAGGAAACAGCAAGGTTTGAACCGGCAGACCTGGTCCGTCCCTCAGGGCCCTGCTGTTTGGCTGTGGCGCAGGCGCCGTTTTGGGTCAGACAGCAAGGTTTTCTTGTAGGTTCAGAAAGCAACGTTAGGCACTCACGGCCGTGGCCCGCAGGCCCGATCCGTCCTTCACTGCCATGGTGTTTGAGGCCCGCGACAGGGTCCTTGGACTCGAGCTGACGGCAGGAAACAGCAAGGTTTGAAGCTAGTTTCTAGGCAGTTCAGAAAGTAACGTTAGGCACTCACGGCCGTTTTTGAATGTTTGTGACGGCCGGAAAGGGCGCGTTTTTGAAGGTTTGACGGCTGGAAGAGAGCTTGTTTTCTTGTAGGTTCAGAAAGCAACGTTAGGCAGTGGGAGCGGTTGCCGGAGGCTCGGTCCGTCCTTCAGGGCCCTGCTGTTTGGGCGTGGCGGAGGCGCCGTTTGTGAGCCTTGACGGCTGGAAGAGAGCTAGTTTGGGAGCCGTTGCCCGGAGGCTCGGTCCGTCCTTCAGGGCCCTGCTGTTTTGCTGTGGCGAGGGCGCCGTTTGTGAGCCTTGACGGCTGGAAGAGAGCTCGTTTTCTTGTAGGTTCAGAAAGCAACGTTAGGCAGTGGGAGCCGTTGCCCGGAGGCTCGGTCCGTCCTTCAGGACCCTGCTGTTTGGGCGTGGCGGAGGCGCCGTTTGTGTGCCTTGACGGCTGGAAGAGAGCTAGTTTGGGAGCCGTTGCCCGGAGGCTCGGTCCGTCCTTCAGGGCCCTGCTGTTTTGCTGTGGCGAGGGGGCCGTTTGTGAGCCTTGACGGCTGGAAGAGAGCTAGTTTTCTTGTAGGTTCAGAAAGCAACGTTAGGCAGTGGGAGCCGTTGCCCGGAGGCTCGGTCCGTCCTTCAGGGCCCTGCTGTTTGGGCGTGGCAGAGGCGCCGTTTGTGAGCCTTGACGGCTGGAAGAGAGCTAGTTTGGGAGCCGTTGCCCGGAGGCTCGGTCCGTCCTTCAGGGCCCTGCTGTTTTGCTGTGGCGAGGCGCCGTTTGTGAGCCTTGACGGCTGGAAGAGAGCTAGTTTTCTTGTAGGTTCAGAAAGCAACGTTAGGCAGTGGGAGCCGTTGCCCGGAGGCTCGGTCCGTCCTTCAGGGCCCTGCTGTTTGGGCGTGGCGGAGGCGCCGTTTGTGAGCCTTGACGGCTGGAAGAGAGCTAGTTTGGGAGCCGTTGCCCGGAGGCTCGGTCCGTCCTTCAGGGCCCTGCTGTTTTGCTGTGGCGAGGGCGCCGTTTGTGAGCCTTGACGGCTGGAAGAGAGCTAGTTTTCTTGTAGGTTCAGAAAGCAACGTTAGGCAGTGGGAGCCGTTGCCCGGAGGCTCGGTCCGTCCTTCAGGGCCCTGCTGTTTGGGCGTGGCGGAGGCGCCGTTTGTGAGCCTTGACGGCTGGAAGAGAGCTAGTTTGGGAGCCGTTGCCCGGAGGCTCGGTCCGTCCTTCAGGGCCCTGCTGTTTTGCTGTGGCGAGGGCGCCGTTTGTGAGCCTTGACGGCTGGAAGAGAGCTAGTTTTCTTGTAGGTTCAGAAAGCAACGTTAGGCAGTGGGAGCCGTTGCCCGGAGGCTCGGTCCGTCCTTCAGGGCCCTGCTGTTTTGCTGTGGCGGAGGCGCCGTTTGTGAGCCTTGACGGCTGGAAGAGAGCTAGTTTTGGAGCCGTTGCCCGGAGGCTCGGTCCGTCCTTCAGGGCCCTGCTGTTTTGCTGTGGCGAGGGCGCCGTTTGTGAGCCTGGACGGCTGGAAGAGAGCAAGTTTTCTTGTAGGTTCAGAAAGCAACGTTAGGCACTGGGAGCCGTTGCTCGGAGGCTCGGTCCGTCCTTCAGGGCCCTGCTGTTTTGCTGTGGCGGAGGCGCCGTTTGTGAGCCTTGACGGCTGGAAGAGAGCTAGTTTGGGAGCCGTTGCCCGGAGGCCCGGTCCGTCCTTCAGGGCCCTGCTGTTTTGCTGTGCCGAGGGCGCCGTTTGTGAGCCTTGACGGCTGGAAGAGAGCTAGTTTGGGAGCCGTTGCCCGGAGGCTCGGTCCGTCCTTCAGGGCCCTGCTGTTTTGCTGTGGCGCGGGCGCCGTTTGTGAGCCTTGACGGCTGGAAGAGAGCTAGTTTTCTTGTAGGTTCAGAAAGCAACGTTAGGCAGTGGGAGCGGTTGCCCGGAGGCTCAGTCCGTCCTTCAGGGCCCTGCTGTTTGGGCGTGGCGGAGGCGCCGTTTGTGAGCCTTGACGGCTGGAAGAGCGTTTTTGAAGGTTTGACGGCTGGAAGAGAGCTTGTTTTCTTGTAGGTTCAGAAAGCAACGTTAGGCAGTGGGAGCGGTTGCCCGGAGGCTCGGTCCGTCCTTCAGGGCCCTGCTGTTTGGGCGTGGCGGAGGCGCCGTTTGTGAGCCTTGACGGCTGGAAGAGAGCTAGTTTGGGAGCCGTTGCCCGGAGGCTCGGTCCGTCCTTCAGGGCCCTGCTGTTTTGCTGTGGCGAGGGCGCCGTTTGTGAGCCTTGACGGCTGGAAGAGAGCTAGTTTTCTTGTAGGTTCAGAAAGCAACGTTAGGCAGTGGGAGCCGTTGCCCGGAGGCTCGGTCCGTCCGTCCTTCAGGACCCTGCTGTTTGGGCGTGGCGGAGGCGCCGTTTGTGAGCCTTGACGGCTGGAAGAGAGCTAGTTTGGGAGCCGTTGCCCGGAGGCTCGGTCCGTCCTTCAGGGCCCTGCTGTTTTGCTGTGGCGAGGGCGCCGTTTGTGAACCTTGACGGCTGGAAGAGAGCTAGTTTTCTTTTAGGTTCAGAAGCAAAGTTAGGCAGTGGGAGCCGTTGCGGGGAGGCTCGGTCGTCCTTCAGGGCCCTGCTGTTTGGGCGTGGCGGAGGCGCCGTTTGTGAGCCTTGACGGCTGGAAGAGAGCTAGTTTGGGAGCCGTTGCCCGGAGGCTCGGTCCGTCCTTCAGGGCCCTGCTGTTTTGCTGTGGCGAGGGCGCCGTTTGTGAGCCTTGACGGCTGGAAGAGAGCTAGTTTTCTTGTAGGTTCAGAAAGCAACGTTAGGCAGTGGGAGCCGTTGCCCGGAGGCTCGGTCCGTCCTTCAGGGCCCTGCTGTTTGGGCGTGGCGGAGGCGCCGTTTGTGAGCCTTGACGGCTGGAAGAGAGCTAGTTTGGGAGCCGTTGCCCGGAGGCTCGGTCCGTCCTTCAGGGCCCTGCTGTTTTGCTGTGGCGAGGGCGCCGTTTGTGAGCCTTGACGGCTGGAAGAGAGCTAGTTTTCTTGTAGGTTCAGAAAGCAACGTTAGGCAGTGGGAGCCGTTGCCCGGAGGCTCGGTCCGTCCTTCAGGACCCTGCTGTTTGGGCGTGGCGGAGGCGCCGTTTGTGAGCCTTGACGGCTGGAAGAGAGCTAGTTTTGGAGCCGTTGCCCGGAGGCTCGGTCCGTCCTTCAGGGCGCTGCTGTTTTGCTGTGGCGAGGGCGCCGTTTGTGAGCCTTGACGGCTGGAACAGAGCTAGTTTTCTTGTCGGTTCAGAAAGCAACGTTAGGCACTGGGAGCCGTTGCCCGGAGGCTCGGTCCGTCCTTCAGGGCCCTGCTGTTTGGGCGTGGAGGGGCGCCGTTTGTGAGCCTTGACGGCTGGAAGAGAGCTAGTTTGGGAGCCGTTGCCCGGAGGCTCGGTCCGTCCTTCAGGGCCCTGCTGTTTTGCTGTGGCGAGGGCGCCGTTTGTGAGCCTTGACGGCTGGAAGAGAGCTAGTTTTCTTGTAGGTTCAGAAAGCAACGTTAGGCAGTGGGAGCGTTGCCCGGAGGCTCGGTCCGTCCTTCAGGGCCCTGCTGTTTGGGCGTGGCGGAGGCGCCGTTTGTGAGCCTTGACGGCTGGAAGAGAGCTAGTTTGGGAGCCGTTGCCCGGAGGCTCGGTCCGTCCTTCAGGGCCCTGCTGTTTTGCTGTGGCGAGGGCGCCGTTTGTGAGCCTTGACGGCTGGAAGAGAGCTAGTTTTCTTGTAGGTTCAGAAAGCAACGTTAGGCAGTGGGAGCCGTTGCCCGGAGGCTCGGTCCGTCCTTCAGGGCCCTGCTGTTTGGGCGTGGCGGAGGCGCCGTTTGTGAGCCTTGACGGCTGGAAGAGAGCTAGTTTGGGAGCCGTTGCCCGGAGGCTCGGTCCGTCCTTCAGGGCCCTGCTGTTTTGCTGTGGCGAGGGCGCCGTTTGTGAGCCTTGACGGCTGGAAGAGAGCTAGTTTTCTTGTAGGTTCAGAAAGCAACGTTAGGCAGTGGGAGCCGTTGCCCGGAGGCTCGGTCCGTCCTTCAGGGCCCTGCTGTTTGGGCGTGGCGGAGGCGCCGTTTGTGAGCCTTGACGGCTGGAAGAGAGCTAGTTTGGGAGCCGTTGCCCGGAGGCTCGGTCCGTCCTTCAGGGCCCTGCTGTTTTGCTGTGGCGAGGGCGCCGTTTGTGAGCCTTGACGGCTGGAAGAGAGCTAGTTTTCTTGTAGGTTCAGAAAGCAACGTTAGGCAGTGGGAGCCGTTGCCCGGAGGCTCGGTCCGTCCTTCAGGGCCCTGCTGTTTGGGCGTGGCGGAGGCGCCGTTTCTGAGCTTGGAAAGCTGGAAGACGGCTACTTTTCTTGTAGGTTCAGAAAGCATTGTGGGGCATTGCCGTGCGGTGTGGCAACCTTAAGCTGGAAACGTCATCAGGTATGCACGCGCCACTGGTTGGTGCGACACTGCCGGCCGCTGGGATTGCGATGCGTTACCCGAATTCGGCCGGAAGCCAGTGTTGAGTGCACCACCGTGCCGCATGTTGGACATGCATGCGAATATGTGCGACCTGCGAGCAGGCCATTGGCAACGCGAAATTGTTTGCCGCAGCCATTACCGCGGCGGTGATCGACGCGCCCTGTTGCCACAGGGCTTTGCACAGACTTAGCACAGTACGGGCAGATGTATATGTGCAGTCGTGGCGGTGCTGTGTCAGGCCCGACAGCAAGCTGCTGGTTCGATGAGTGGGCAGTGTCCGTTTTGGGACCTTCTGCTCGCGTGGAAGTTTGTCTTGCTTCGTGTATTTCCTGAATTTCCTTGCGAATGTCCTCTAGGATTGCTGCGTGCCGGTGGCGGGTTTCGCGTTGGCGCAAGCGGGCCAGGCGTTGATTCGTGCGATGAGCAAAACGGCAAACGAAGGCAAAGGCTGTGCATGCGTTGCATACTTGTGTGCCGTCTTGAGTATATTCACGACCTTGTTGCCAAGCTGTAAACTCTGTTCGTGGCTTGCGTTCCGCGCACATGGAACACATGAAAACAGACCAGCGACTTTGACTGAGCTTCGGCCGCCATCACTGTGGAAGATGTTCACTGCAGGAAGGGTTCCAAACTCACTCTCTCCCAGGGGTCGGCGGCAGGGGGCGTAGCCCCTTAATATCAGAAAAAGGGAAGACTTGCATGGAAAGATGAATCTATACATCAAGACAATTATCTCATAGGATATACATTGATAGACGAAGAACGTAATATAATTGAGGATTTCGCTAAGGCAAATGAATTCCCAAATCAGAACCGCTGGCCCATTCTGCAGCTGGCTTCGGATTCTTAATTCCAATTCTTCCATCAAGAATGATGTGGATCTCACCAAGAACAACCGGATTCATGGGCACAGCCAAATGGGTCAACATAGACTAAGAATGGGTAAGATGACAACCAAAAATGAGCGTTTTATATCGTTTTATCAGATAACATGCGATGTTACCTACAAAAAGAAGAGCTGATGTCTTGATGCCCTTCAAACGGCTGCCCCTGAGGGTCCCTGGGAGTGGGCTCCTTGTTGTTCAAACAAACCTAAAGTTGCAGCCCATTCTGAATTCTACTATATCATGTGCACTGGCATTGTCGCTGAAATGTCACCTGTGAACCCCATCCATCTAGAACTATAACTATAACAAACTTCTGGACGACCATAAGCTCCTTGAACGAAACTAAGATAAGAAGGTCATAGAAACGAACTAAGCAAACTAGCAACAAATTTAGATGACATATCTATGTAAAACAGGACTATATAATTCTAATTGTTATTTACAGATAAAGCACCATTAAGATAGACAAACTCAATAAGGGTATATGGAAAGTCATTTGAGTCTCTCTTAAATGGACCAAAACTTGGTTATGTGAAATGGTTTGCATGATATCCAAAAATACCGCAGTATATCCCCATGATTTTAATTGATGCTTATTGATTGTATTGGCTTTCTATGACCCGCTTCAGGATGGTGAAAGCTTATCAAAGCTCCATGTTTACTGGTTAAAGCCCCATTTTCATCAACCCACCAGAGTTCCCACAACATCCAGCAACCTTGCCTGGCTGCTCGCAATGCGTCAACACCTGGTTGTAGCCAATTCGGGACTGATTTGCCCAGCTGGAAACCTCTATGGGTGGGATTCCCCAACTTTGCCATGTTTGATGACACCAGGGGGTATAAGTTGGTTGGATGGAGCGTTAATTCTGTTTTTATCTATTTTTCCTAAAGAAACCTGCAATTTGCTTGCACACTGGAAAGCATCCCCTACTGATCATGACTAAAGTGGGTCGTGTAGGGAGAAATGGCTAGTAGGGCATTTGTGCACCGATGATCCATATGTCCCCAGTGATTGGCAGGACTGCTGAAGTTGGCAAATATTAAGCCAGGATGAGTTACGTGTGTCATGTCAATTCACACGAAAATCAATTGATTCAAATGAGCATTGGATGGCCGTCAATGAGCATGTCATGATGATTCTGAAATATAAAGATCTTAGATCTTATCATAATCCATAGAAATGATAATTCTGAGAGATCAAAATCTGTCAAGTCATCCTACCATCCTTGGCAATCCCTGTTCTCCCATCAAAACCCACTTCGACTTAGCGCGCCTCGATCGATGCGACGCAGAAAAATGCCTTCGTCCTAACCGGGAGCTCCGACGTATCTTCAAAAAGGATGGCCAGGTGGTTCCAGAAATATGGCTACCCCCAGTTCTCATCCATTTATAGATGGGATTTTCATGGATTATTATCCAATCATCCATTTATAGATGGGATTTTCTTGGATTATCATCCAATCATCCATTTATAGATGGGATTTTCTTGGATTATCATCCAATCATCCATTTATAGATGGGATTTTCCATTGTAAACCATCTACATGGGTTTTTTGGGGGGTTCCAGAAATGAGGCTACCTCAAAATTTTGGATCGTTTATTTCATGGAACATCCCAAGCTAAAATGGATGAGAACTGCGGGTACCCCCCATTTTTTTTCTTCAAAAACCATGGGGATTTTTTGGGCTAGCACTATTTGAAGAGACAAACCCACATATTCATCTCCAAGAGGTGTGGAAATTTCACCCTCACTAAGTGGGCGGAGGGTTGTCCTAATTTTCATGGAAGGTACCCTAAAGTGGCCATTAGATGGATATCATAAAGCAGAACGATGCAACAAACCCTGGCCCTGCCATCAAACATGGCAATGGAGAGCAGACTGCTGGAGGCCAATATGTCACCGGTCTGTCTCGAAAATTGGATACTCAACAAGCCCATGATGAGGTTCTCAGCATTTTTTTGGAGATTTTATCATGAAAAACATGATTTTATCATGATATGATATGGATTTAACAATTGAATTCTGTGGTTGAACCTGGGATGTTCATGGGGATATAATGGGATAATAGTTAATATTGTATACTGTATATTAACATTATATAACTAACATAACTAACTAACCATAATCAACCAACAATATGATAGATACTTCCGTGTGTCTGAAAATGGGGCATGCCCCGAAGTGGCAATTTTGATAGGAAAAGTTTGAAGCAGTTAAAGCCGTTGGATTTTAGAGTAACCCCTTTTCCGACAAACCCATTTTCATGATTGATGGCATCAAAAAAATTGAGGCTAGAGTTGTTGATGAAGCACATGATAAAACACCATGAACAAGTGGCAATTGGGTATGGCCATTGAGGTAAACTTCATGGATGCCCCGTAAACCCATGGGTTTTTTTCTTGGGGTCTCATGATGTCTCATCCTCCGTGTTTGCGACAAAGCGCCACGGGGATTGGCTGGTCACAATTAACCTCTGGTAATTTAAGATAGGCCCGGAAAATGGCCATTTTTTTTTCCTCATTTCCACGCCACAATGTCGGAACGACGTAGGCGGACAGGCACCTAATTAAATGTGGGAAGGGGGGCATCCAGACCATCCTTTCTTCGTGCCTTCCCCGTGAAGAGGTCCCCGGACATAGCCCCTTTGATGGAACCAACATACAAGTTATGAACTCTAGCAAATCGGGGGTCATGCCGGATATCCCTCAACCTGCCAGTCTTATGTGCATGGACTGCTGCGTGCACAATTGACCGGGCCATGGCCATACTGAACCTGGAAGGATAAGCCTTCAAGGCCTCAGTGCGAAAAGTCAGATTCTGGGAGTTCCAACCAACACTATTTTTGGAAATAGCCATGGGTTGAGCCAACTGTTGAAATGAACTCTCAAGATCTGGCAAGGCTATTGAAAGCAAGTGAGTCCCCTTGCGCGACACCTGACCGAATTGGCCCTGTTCCACATACAGCCGTTTAACAGCCGGAAAAGCAAGCAAGGCCTTCGTATATGGCAACTTCCAAATAGACGCACACTCTGACAAATCAGGAACACTGGGGTGAGCTATTATACCAGTATGGCCGGAAGCAACCTGAGTAGCAGCTGCAGTGAAAGCTGCTCTCAAGGATTCAGATTCACTAAAAAGATATTTTTCTTCAGAATCTGTCAAACTCCACAAACCAAAAGGGCTCATTGCTGACCTGATAGGTCTCACTTGAAAAAGAGGTTCGCCATCCTCGCCAAGAGCCGCTTGCTCACGATGCCTGGCAACAGCCCAAGTGCTGTGGGGAGGACTCGCTACAAGAGAGTGAACAAAATGCTCCCGCAAAAGTGTGCACCAGAAACTCAATGTATCAGCATCAGCAAGGTTCCCGTGGACAGGGTCAATGGCCACATCCAATGACAAGGTCAACAAACGAAAAGGCTGATCCACAGTAAAATGTTCAAGCCAATGCTGTAAGTCGCCGTGCTTACGCTGACCATTGAAAAGATGCAACACCAGATACACTGGGGTCCCCGGAACAGGCCGTGGAGAGCAAGCAGAGCTCAGGACATTGCTGGAAGCCGTCACAGCAAAGGCGCGCTCTGAATCTTCAACAAGGGCCTCTTTCAGTTTCATCCAGTGATGGTCCCTGTGCTGGACAATCTCGCGATCGACTGCTTGTTGAGATTCCGCCTTTTCAATTGGCAAGAGACGCCGAAGGTCTGCAGCAGGCTCAAATTCCCGCGTGCAAGGCAAGGCAAGCTCACGTCTCAGCAAAGGATCCGCTCGGGCGGCTCTCTTTTGATGGAGATCCCACTTATCGAAGCGGATCTGCTCTTCCTGCGGCATAGGAGCAAACACCTGCATCAACGAAGTCAAACACCCCGTCCTGCGGTATTCTAAATGGCGAAGGCATCTCGGCCGGGAACGATAGTTCATCCCACATGCATGGCAAACAGGTCCATCACAGAAGGCCCGCGCAGCAGCTCGCCATCCATGCTTGTGTGCACAATGCAGCGCCAATGCCTTGACGGAAGCGAAACTGGCATCACACAAGTCACAGCAATGCAGGGTGCTTGGCAACGCAGCAACCGGCGGAACCAATCCTGCTTCTTCAAGGATGCTGAAGAAGTGGGTTCTCCACTGCAGCCAAGCAAGAGCGTCCACACGATATCGCACGGCACTGCGATTCGTCTTCTTCAGTTTTCCATGCCAATGTGCTCCCACCATGTTAAGCCAAGCCAACCAGGAGTGTGATGGGAAACGTTCTGCAGGACAAGGGTCTACCAGCGGCACATGACGCTGCAGCCAAGCCAGGTCATCATTCACAAGATCAGCCCAGGAGTCACTGTGAAGAGAAGCTTCCCAAAAAATAAAAGACCAAAGTTGCTGGGGTGCAAATTGAACCAATTGGCCCAAAAAGCGAAGCCTAGACAACGCCAACAATTGAGAAGGATCTGGCAAGAAAGTTTGGGACAAAACTTCATCTTTGGCTAAAGGTTTTAAGCAATCAAGTCTGCGCGGCAATGCTGAGCGATAGATGGCTATCACGGCTGAAGACCACATCCGAAAAGATGCCAAAGTCAAAGATAGCCACGACTCTACTCCGTACAGCAATCTGGAAAGAGCCAGGGAGCGCACTGCTTGCAGCTTGGTGCGAGAGCTGACACTCCGGGACCGAAGCAATTGAGGCCGAAGCAATCGCAAAGGTTCTCGTGAGCTGGCAGTTCTCCTGGATATCTCGAAATGAAGTTTGCCCTTGGAATCCAAGCCTGAACCAAGGTGCACGTAGTCTTTGGGCACATTGATCTTGATTGATTCACCAGCAAAAGGGAAGGTCACAAAGCCCTGATCTATGTCAAAAAGGCGATGAGACCAGGCTTTAACATGCGATCCCACAAACCGCAAAATGATTTCCGTCTTCCCAGATCCGGAAGAAAGCTGCATGCCGTACGAAGCAAAAACTTCGAAAACTATGCGGCACAGGTCTGGAAGTCTGAAATACAACTCGCTGGGAGAGCAAAAACTCTGAGGTATTGCCATGTCATCAGCCCATATTATAGAAGGAAGAGGCTCCTGGCCGTCAAGGGAACTTGTTTGGAAATCCAACCTAGGCTGGGCATCAATGAACCCAGCAGCTTGGAGTGAGCAGTGAAGCTCCTGATCTAAGTCGCTGAGTAGGACGGCAAACAGCAAGTCAGCCAATGGATCGCCAGGCCTGGATCCTCTCTGAGTCAAAGTCAAGTTCGGGGCCCCTTCGGTTGAGAACCAAGTATCTTGCAGCGTTTCCTCACAAAAAGCACGCCAAGCTGGGGAGAGAGGAAGTTTCTGCAAGAGATTGGCTTCGTCAAGCCGTTGTCGCAAACGGAGCTTCACCAAATCAGATGCAGGAAGCTGGTCAATTAAAGCCAACAAGGTCCCTGAGCGGGGCAAAGCTGAAACCAACAGTTGCCTGTAGGCAGCATAGTATGCGCCTTTCACATCAACAAAAAGCACGCAGAAGGATCGACGACGAGCCACGGCTATTCGCTGAAAAAGACGAAGACCAAGACTACCAAAGACAGGGGACATGCCTTTGAAGCCACCCAATTGAAAGGGACGAGCAAAGTTGGAGACTGCTTCGTAGATCCGATTGCGAACAACTTTGTGTAGCACTTTGCTCACCAGGTCACTCAACAAGATAGCACGGTACGACCCAAACTGGCATCGAGGGCCACGCCCTTTGTATAAGGCTATCTCAAGGCCTCCTTTGGCAGAAAGAGGCTCCCTTCCAGTGACGAAAGCTTTGAGAACAGCAGGATATAAAAGATGCTGGACCACATACTCTGAAAGGAAAGCCGCTGGAATTTGGTCAGGTCCAGTGGCCTTCTTCTTGTTCAGCGATCGTACTGCTCTTTCTACTTCATGAAGCGTGGGCAAATCTTCCGGCTGAACATCGAACAGAGGCGGACGTTGAATGGATTGCCGCGTCAAGCACAAAGCACGCAAGAGTGCAGGTGAGATCAAATCACCTGCTTCAATGGAGGCAAAGTGGGCCTGCCAAGCCAATGCGAGTTCGTCCGGAGCAGTGACCAAAGAACCATCTGGAAGTTGCATGGCCTGTTGAAATCCTGATTGACGCCGCCGAGGTTTTTTGCCTATGGCTCCTAGTTGCTGCAAGGTATTCCAAAGATCCTCGTAGGAAGCACCAACTACATGTGACCCCAAACGCTGAGACAATCCATTATAGAAGACTAATTTGGAGTGATGCAGGGTCTGTCGCGAAAGACAGGAAACAACCTCCAAAAACTTCCAGCATAGGGCACGCTCAAAACGGATGGTTTGTAAAGTAGTCAGGAAAGTTGGGACCGAAGCTGACCAAGCATTCGACAGACACTGCTTGACCCAAGAATGAAAAACCACCAAAAGACACATCCGATCACAACGACGAGTCAGGGAAACCAGATGCGATTTGACTCGCTTGCGCAGACACAGGAAATCCCAGGCAAAATCATCAATGGCAGGGCTACGGCGGGGCCGGTTGGCTTTAGAGGTGGACACCGCAGAATCGTAGATTCGCTGCTGCATATTTTCGAAATGGCAATGCGCTTCAACGGTCCATTCAAAAGGGCCTAAAGACCGCACGGCTTGATCAAAAGCATCCAGGTGGGACTGCGTTGGAGACTGAGGCAGCTTGCAAGACCGGTGACGCTGAAAATCCAACTTGCCAAGAGCAAAAGTAGACAAAGGAAAATCAAGTGTCACAACTACAGGACGGTGATCTTCAAGAACTATGCCCCGGTCAAAATCTGGCCACACAAAATGCGAAGTGACAAGACCCGGAAAGTCAAAGGAAAGCCCTACAAAGTCCAAACGATGCCATCCTCCAGCATGGCCTTTCCAAGTACCACTGTCAGGACACAATGTCCCAGCATCACCGCAGTTGAGGTGGAAAGTGCTTGGGAGCCACAGGCCTGCCTGAGCAAGGAAAGTATGCAACAAAGCGCCTGTAGGGGATTCAACATCAGACTTGCATCCGCCGATGTGGCTAGTCTGAATAGACCCAACTCTGGCGTTGGCATCAATCAACACCATCAATGGCGCAGCGCCACGATATGGCTGAACAAGGGCGCTCAAGGAATTCCACCAGGCATCAAGTTCCGAAGGAACGTATTGGCTGTGTGGTGCGTGCGCGCAAAGAACAAAGAAGTTCAAGAAAGGGGCCTGAAGACGCACAAACAGATGACGAGGTGAAGCATCAATCAAGGTCACATGTTTCGGATGCAGGTAATAATCGATTCCATGCAAGGTTGCGTAGGCACGAGCTTTGCAGAACCACAACTCCGCACCAAAGAGGCCATCAGCACAACCTGACCGAAAACGGAAATAGGGGAACCCTGGCGCATCAAGCAGTCCAACACCAGAGGTTCTTGTTTCCTGCAACCCGACAATGAACAACCCCTGCGCAAGAAATTGAGCATGACAAAGTGACACACGAGAACTGGAATCCAAGTGCAAGGCAGATTGACAATCATGCAAGTCAGCGAGGTCGGTGGGATCCAAAAGGGATTGGATGTTGAAAGATGCCACTGCAAACGGAAAACAGGCGCGCGACGACGTTGCCGGCAAGGGTCTCAAGCATTGATGCGCAAACACCTTGGTAGGATCATAGGTCAGGTCGGGAAGTTGGGTCAAGTGCGAGCCAAAAAGCAAGGACTCCTCAAAGACCGGAGGGAAATGCGAAAGGCCAATAGAACCTGCATACCGCACAAAAGTCCAATGCGGAACCAAAGAACGACAGCAAGGAGCTAACCAAGGCAAGTCCAAGGAGCCGCAAAGACCAAGGCTTGTCGCAGCTGCAATGCGATCAGCAAGCTCATTCCAGGGATCACCGGTATGGCCCGCAACATGAGTCATGGCAGCAGAGTGGCGGAAAGACAGCACTCTATAGAACTCGCGCAGCACAACTCCAAGATGACCCAACCCTGACGTAGACCAAGCTCTGGAGGCGATATTAAGAGAAGCCAAATTGTCCGGCCGCAACTCAAAGGGCACATCGAAGGGACAAACACTAAGCCAGGCTATCGCCCAAACCAACGCAGAGGCTTCAGCATGAAAGGGAGATAGGCCAGTGGAGCCACACCAGCCATAGGGCAAAGAGCTGACGTCAGCTTCAGGGTCCGCGGAAACAACAAGGCCAGAGTAGTAACCTGCTAAAACCCAGACATGATCCTGCTCCTCTTCAAACCAGCATTCCAAGAGGATGCAGAAAGCCCAAGAAGGAGTCGAAAGTTGACCTCCACTCCCATCGGTATATATGATGACCTTGGTGACATCATCCTTAATGGATGAAAGGTCAAAGTTGATGTCCTCCAACGTAACCACATCACCAAGCGCGGCAAGCGTGTACGGATGCAAGGCAAGGGGAAAATTCGAAGGATCAACAACAGCTGGAAGAGGCCATGACAACTGCCAAAACTCAGAGGATGGGGCTGGTAATGGACAAGCTGCAAGGCAATTCGAGAGTGGTGACGATAAAGCAGCTGGCACAGGAACGGACAGCGAGATAGCTTTATCACAACAAGAGCCAACCGTCACAGAAGAAGAATGCGCATCTTTTGTGAGCAAATCTTCAGGACCAGGTACCAGAACTGAAGGCATCGAAAAAGACAAGCCAACAGGAAGCACCGGGACGTTTGGTGAAACAGACGGAGAGGCAAGACAATCGGACAAACAAGGCTGCTCAGTCCAGGTAGAGCTGTCGGCCTGCAAACTCTGAAGAACTGGGCTGGAAGGGGCCTTGAAATCCGAATCAAAATCCACAGGGCAAGGAGGTAGCGGAGACCAAGACAAAGCACCTGAGGTGGGAACATGGACAGAGGAACCACCCAGAAGGGCACAGTGGTCAGGAAGACCCAAGGCAACCGACAAGTCCAAAGTCACGGCATCACAAGCAGAAAGGGCAGAACGACCACTGAGAGACAACTCAGGAGAGGGCTCAGACACGACAACAGGCAACGGTGAGGTTGAAGATCTTACAGCAGGCACAGCAGAGGAACCAACAAGGGTCTCAAGTCCAAAATCCATCTCTCTAGAGAAAGGTTCTTGGCAAGGCGCGTGGATAGCATTTGCAAAAGCCAAATTCTGTGCAAAGTCCATGGCAGGAAAACAAAGTCCATTGCGGGGTCCTGCCTCCCCGATTCCGATTGTCAGCGAGACTGCTCTGGGGAAGATTGCACTGACACTGGTTGCGATGCTGTCGTCTCCGCAGCAGCCTTGCGCTCGCCTTTGTCTGCCTTGTGGGCCCTCGCCTGGGGCGTCTTGACCTTCAAAGGCTTGGCGCCCTGAGAAACCTTTGCTGGATGATGTTGAGCATGCGTAGCAATATACCAATAGGTCAATGATTGAACTGAGCCATGGCATACAAGTCGCCAATCCCATGGAAAACACTTCAGAATAACCCATCATCATAGAATTGGATGGGAAAATTTTAACCGGAAAGCCCAACCAATTTGATGGTAATTTTACCATGGTTTCCGGTGTAGATTTCCCCCAACAAACCAATCCAGTGACATCAAAAAGCCATGGAATTTCCGCAGCCGTCCGGTCCTGTACCAAACGTTCCCATAGCTCTGGTCGGCTTTCAAGCGCTTGCCTCGCACTTTCCCACCTGGCGGCCAGAATGGCCGCAGCACAAGGTCCAGCCGAATGGTTGATATATCCCATAGGATCCATGGTGCTGGTATATATGCTAACATTTGGGGTATATTGATGGTAAATGTTAGCATATATACCATACATGGATCCTATGGGTATGGTTGATACATCATGATATATCGCAAGGGTTGCTATATGTTGGGCTATATGTTGCTATCATAGATCCCCAGTATATCCCGGCAAAACGCAGCATCTTTTTGTGGAACCCAAGACCGAGCACCAGATTCGACACTGAGTCTCCTACCAGTTTTCAAGCTGCTCCAGTTCGGCCAAAGGACCTTCCAACGTCAAGTTGTTGGGGGGTACGGACCCCACAAAATCTGGAGATCCAAAAAGACGCCCAAATAGGGGATCTCTCGGGTGCATACAACATATCAAAACATATCTATTTCATGATTTTCATTTATTATCTATCTAGAGTATAGTTATTAGAATGTATTATCTATTGTGTATTCTAGATTAGTTTCCATTAAAAATTGGTTATTTTATGTTATTTTCAGGGTCTATGTTAATTTACCGGAGGATCCAGAGGGTAGATTATTGTAATAAAATATATGCACATGACATCCCATGACTAATATGTTACATGGATCTCAGAGGAATCCCAATGTGACCACTCGAAAAATTCACGGCCGTCCCTGCGGTCCCTGCGGTCTCTGCGGTCGTCCCTGCCTTTGAAGTGCCAATCAATGACCTGACATAAACCAAGCCCATTTTCCTGGGAATGGTAACAAAAGACCACCTATAAACACGGTGATGGGGGATGGTGTATGATTGTGTTATCATTAGTTTTATCCACATTGTATTACATATATATATACCCTCCGGTCATGATGTCCATGGCTGGGAAATCCCCGAACCAGACGGAGGTTGATCGCTGCGAACATCAATGAACATCATCTATAAACGGGGAATTGTCCATTGCCATGTTTGATTAACGGAGGGTATACTGCAATACAGAGATTGTTGAAATTCCGGGCATGTGTTGGTCAACGCACAGCCTCCCTAATTAGATTCAAAAATAATGGCATACGGCATACATATATCTCTCAAAAGTATTCAAACGTACTGCCAATTCAAGGTCTTTAAAAATGTGATGTGATGTGCGCCACAAAATGGCAAACATCCTTCGGTGCGTCATCTATCCAAGAATTGGGAATACCGGATTACCAAATTTATGGCAATTTCATGCAATTTCCATGGGGATATATGGGATATGATTTGATTGACAAAATCATCAAAATCGATATTAGGGCTCAGAGAAACCCATGCTTTTGAGCTATGGCCGAACGCGACAAAACACCTCCGAAACCTCCCCAAGTGCTCTGAGTAAAAAGGAACTGGGTTTCATGTCCCTTCTAAAATGTACAGTAAATGTACAGTAAATGGATTATCATCCAATGTATCACATCTTGGTAGAACAGTGTTGTCAACTTAGCTTTTGTCCCCCAGACTTTTCGGGTGTGTTCTAAGAATTGGATACGGATACAGCAAAAAAAAGGTTGGCCGAAAACTTCATTTCCCTATAATTTTCCCCATGTGTTCATAGCCATGGGGTATACACCATGTTTCAAACACCACTGGGACACTGGCTGCTCGGGCAATCACCGCCGGCACCGCAGCAGCCTCGGATGTCGTAGGTCCTGGACCTTTATTGATAATTTTGATGGTCCAATCACAATCCTTGGTTCTATCCACTTGTTCAATCTTTTTCAGGGTTTTAAATGATCTGAAGTGATCTTAGCTGATGCCAAATAGGTCTAAAAGGGCCTTCTTTCAGTTGTGATGTGTCATATTTTTGTTCCACTGATTTCCGACCGTGTCCTCATTTGTTGGACCACTCATGAGCGTATCAGTGGATATCAATGGACTGATTTAAAGCCACTCAGTAACTGCTGAGAAACGTGAGAGAAAGTGGAACTATTACACACTTGAATGGGATAATGCTCCAAATTCTCCATGAACCATGTTGAACCAAGATTGCTATCGCTGCGATGTTCATCCCGTTTCGAGGTGGAAAAATGTGGAAAACATACCCCCAGGATCCTGAATCTCAAGGACGCCTTCAGTGAGTCGTGAATTCACCAAGGAAAATGCAGCTGCTGATCCGATCAGAGTCTTCACAACAGCTTAGAATACATTTAACTGATCCCTTCTGATATCAGTCATGTACCCGTAACATCCCGTAACATAGAGGATTTTCCATTGAAACCACAAGATTTATAATATTATTTAAAATGGGGATGGTCCGAAAAAACCATTAATTTGATTCCCAGAGAGCAAAATCTCTGTTTTCACAACACACATCCGCATCCAACAGCGCCGCAACCATCGCTTCGTTGAACTTGCATAGCTTAATGCGTCCTAGATCGCTAGATCTGACAAGTTTCTGCACCCAGGATTACTTGTCGATATTTTTCGGAACCCAGCGGGAACGCTGGGGGAATTTGGCAGAACTGGAAGTACCATCTGGTTATGACTAACAGTTTGCCATAGAAAATCACCATGCTATTAATAGGTAAACCATCTATTTCTATGGGCCATGGCTTCCATGGCTATGTTAAATAACCAGAGGGTAATCCAATCAACAAATTGCCGGACACAGTTCCTGTTTTAGGCTCATTTGGCCGCCCTGGGAGCCCTTGCGATCTGCTCGGCTGTTTCACTCACCACCTGATCACTGTCAAAGACTGATTGGAACATCCGGTATTTTAATGGTGGCTTATTGGCTTATTGGGGATTCCCACCATAGATTATGAGAATAGTACCCGCCAATACACCGTTATACGAGTTGACCTGGTCCGGTTGGAACGCTCGATTTTCTAGTAGAAAATGATAGAAAATGTATGTTGCATAAATTAGGGACCCAAGAAAATCATCCTCGAACATCAAAACGAACTTAAGTTTTTCGAGAAATTTCTAGAATATTGGCAACGTATCAGACTGCATTTTCGAAGCCATGCTCAGCATTTTTTTTCTAAGAAAATCACCTGCTTTCTTGAATTGCAAATTCTTAAGAATTCGATTTCTCATTTTTGTAAACCACTTCAAATTACTGGAACCCATTTTCTAGACCCCGACATCCAACCCAGCGCGTGGTTTCGAATTGTTCGATCGAGTTTTTCGAAAATGGGCATATCCTCCCTAAATAGTCGCCCAGGACAGCCCAAAAAAAATCATTTCAACAAATGCAAGGTTGTAAAATTATGTTGATCGACCAGTCTAAAAACAAGATCACAAAAGAATGCAAACATTCGAAATCATACACCAGTGATCACCAGTGCCTCTCTAGAAAATCAGGGACCACTAGAGAATCAAGAACGTACTCCCAGAGATGCTTCTGGATTCTGGGCACCTAAACCATCCAGAAAATCAGCATCTTACAACTCAGAGGTCTCCAAAAGTTGTTCTCTAGAAAATGGAGACTTGGAAAGCATCATTTAGCACATGGGGGGGTTAAACGCCCCTGGTTTCCTAGAGGAAACTCATACCCGTATCCGCCAATAACATACTTGGTGGAGTTTGGTGCTTTGTCGATCTCCTGCTAAAAGTTCGAACTGTTCGTGGGATAAATGGTAAACCCATCCTATGATATCCTATGTATATAATCCACCATGTTCAAAAAGATTCTGTGTGTGGCTGTAATTCATCCAGTAGAAAAAAGGGCAGGTCTTGTTTTTTCTCCTCGCAACAATCATCAACCAGCGCCAGGGTTCCCATTGTTCCACTGCGAATGGCACCTCCGACATGAAGCTGGCGACGGTCCTAACTGGATGTTCCAGCACCTCTGAGTCAGCTCCAAAATGGGAAGTGGCCCCAAATGGATTGATTCCTTCGTCCCAAAGATATTGTATCATGATAATCATATTGTATTAAACAGCGAATGATAATTCAAAAAGGGCTGCACCATATTGCCAAGTCCTGACACTGAAAATCACTGAAACATTGGAGCATTCTAGCACCGATTTGCCATGTATTTTGATGCTGGGTGCTTTGGCTGGGAGGACTGCAACTAGCGCAACTGTAGGTTTTGGTTGCTGGATGTTGCTGGTATGGTTTCAAGCGTTGCTCCTTGTTTTGAAACTGAATTGAAGGATGCTGCCAGCATCTGCTAGCTCGTTCATGCTGTTGACTCCAACTGCAATTGATGCTCAAAATGTGGAATTCTTGGGTCCGCGACTTTGTGGATGATCGGATTAACTGATAAACTACATCGTTTACCCAAAAATCTAAAAAGTTCCGCCATTTGGAGAGGATTCAGCGAAAAAAAAACATCATTCCAGTGAGTGACGTCACCAGCCCGTCAACGGTGCGCCCCGCCTCCAAAGCACTTTTCGCGGAGGCCCAAACAGCAGGCCGCTCACGGTGCGCCTCAACAGCCGTGTCAAGTCATTTCAAGCCAACATTTGCCCAACACATTCCTTTAGCTTGCAGGTTTCACCCATTAAAAAAAAACACGTTAAGAGAATGCATCATCACCATCCTCATCATCATCAGAGGAAGAGAGCAACACGTGGTTGAAACCACCAGATAGGGGGATCTGACTGCTGAAGTGGAGGGGTCTTCCCATGTCATCAGATACCCTCCTCGAGCTCTCCTTGTACCCCAAGATGCAGCTACTCACTGCAACCCCAACGACCCCAAAACATAGTTCAGAGAATCATCAGACTTCCCTACAAATGCAATGTGGAGTCAAGTGTTGCTGGCAGCAAATTACAGCGCTGATTCAAAATGAATCAAATCATCGTGCCTTCGTCAAAGGCACTTTAGGTATCAGCAGTGCCAAGGACAATGTCATTGTCTCGGCCACCCCCTCATAGGTCATAGATGCCGTCAAGAAAGTCACTATTCATTGGGCTTGGGGATAAAGGATACCCAGAAATTATCAACAATTGCAATTTAGTCGGAAACACTATGATAACCCCCAGAAAAAAAAACAGTTCCCTCATGTTGTTGTTGTTGTTGTTGTTGTTGCTGTTGTTGTTGTTGTTGCTGGTGTTGTTGTTGTTGTTGTTCTGATTTTTGTTCTGATTTTTGTTCTTGTTCTTGTTCTTGTTCAGACAAGCCCACCAGATCCAACCAGAATGGAAGGCCGCAGCACCGGCGCACCAAATGTCCAACACCTTTTTGATCCTTTTTGCGCAATTCGACTTTGACTGCGCAAGAGTCGAAGCTTCTCATGGCCAAGGTCTGGTCAAATCCACAAAGACCAAATCCCTGACTGGTAGCTGAGCCAGCCCAAATAAAGCGATCAAAATGAAGTAACATCTTCGATCTTCCTTCGAGAGGCTCTAGTGACCACATGTGACACTTGAACCCATCAACCAAACCAGAAGGTACTCTCTTAGCAACAATCAATGGGATGTGCCAGACATTCGACCAGCTATTGGTGAATCGCAGCTATTCTGCAATTCGACCAGTTCCTAAGCCGTCAGGCACCATGACCGTGGCCGTCCCTCATTTGAGGCACCATGACCAACTTGATCTAGCCTGGAAATCTGTTACAATCAGCTGCCAGCATCCTTCAGCTCATTGTCGCGTTGCGTCTTTGCTGGTCTCTTCCTTCGCATTCTCCTGCTTCTCTAGCACCTTCTCTGTTGGTGTCTTTGGTGTCTTTCGCGTTGGTGTTTCTGTTGGTGTTTTGGGATGTGTCTTTGCTGGTATATTGATTGGTGAACTGGGGTCCTCCTCGAAATCTTCTTCGATTTCCTCCGGCACCAACTCCGTTACTGTCCGTGTTGGTGGTAACTTGCGCGGCGTCTCTGTTGGTGTCTTTGGTGGCGTCCCTGGTGGTGTTCGTGGCACTGTCTTCGAAGAACCCTTTGCATCTTCTTTCCGTTCCTCCAACGCTTCCAACGCCTTATCTGTTGCTGTCCCTGCTGGTGTCTCTGGCGTCTTGCGTGGCATCTCTGTTGGTGTCTTTGGTGGTGTCCCTGTTGGTGTCTTCGAAATGCCCTTTGCATCTTCTTTCCGTTCCTCCAACGCCTCCAACGCCTTATCTGTTGCTGTCCCTGCTGGTGTCTCTGGCGTCTTGCGTGGCGTCTCTGTTGGTGTCTTCGGTGGTGTCCCTGTTGGTGTCTTCGAAATGCCCTTTGCATCTTCTTTCCGTTCCTCCAACGCCTTATCTGTTGCTGTCCCTGCTGGTGTCTCTGGCGTCTTGCGTGGCGTCTCTGTTGGTGTCTTCGGTGGTGTACCGGTTGGTGTTTTTGGTGGTGTCTTGGGAAATGTGTCCGTTGGTGGCTGCCCTATGGATCCTATGGGCTTTGTCTCCTCCTTCGCATCCTCTTTGCCAAAGATATGACTACCCATGTTGCGATCAACAGCCTTCTTGGCCGATTCGAAACGTTCCCAGACTGCTCCTCCTAGGTAGGTGGCATGAACCAAGGCGTCAAAAAATGGGGACTGGCATGGACTGGGTGATAAGTTGTGATAAGAGATAAGAGAATAACAGAGTATATAAGAGTCATCAGTCAGATAGATTCAGATAGTCAGGGTGAAACTTCTCGTGAAATCTGGAATCCATCATCGTTTCATATCTTTTTTCATCAATCCGCCCCAGAGTCGGCCACCTAGGCCTGCCATCAATCCGAATGTGTCGGGTCCCGGTTGCCCGACCCAGGCACCTCGTTTCTCCAAGGCGTCGTAGACCTCTCGGTTGTAAATGGCACCTGACCACAGCTGGGGCTTAGCAGTAAGGGAATACATCATGGGAACAGAACATGATTGTTCACTCAACTGCTCTGACTGGGGCGCCTCAAAAAAGCATGATTCCCACTTTTTCCCTCATGATCAGGGTAAAGTGAGGGTGAAATGCTGCTTGGAAACTGGCATCTCTAGCTGCTAAATGCTGCTAAATGGGTCAAGATAGTAGGGGTACCTCGGTTGCGAATACTTCAAGGAACACAGTTCCTAATAAATATTGGGAAAAATAGTAACCCCCAAAAAGGATAGAACAGGTAAAAAAAAAAACTGGATATTTCCGATATCATAAATACATACCATCCTGGAAACATAACTTTGTTGTCTTTTTTGGGGTTGCTAAATTGCTAAATATCATATTTCAGCAGCCTGAAATAAGGCTACGTTGGGATAGTTGCCCGTACTAACCATCATTCCAGTGAGGTCGCAGTGAGGTCAGAGGTCCTTGTAGTTTATCCAGAAACTTCGATACAATTAGATAGACAGTGAAACTAACCCTTACCCTCTGGTAAATTAACATATTTAGCCTATTTAGCTATTGAAAATGGCCATGGAAATAGTTTACCCATTAAAAAAATCTGATTTTCCAGTTCGCTATCGTTAGTTTACCGGTCAACATTCACTATCTTCAACGGGGCCGGCCTCGAACGCTGCGGCACATGCACACCTTTCCTCTGCGTGCGAAGGGAGGTAGATACTTCCCTGCTTCGCATTTGCATTCGCCGCCTCTACACCTGGAACTGTGGAAATCACTGCTGTTTTTGAATCACAACTCAAGAAGTGGTAGGTGGCGGTTCATTGCGGCATATGGTACAGAATGGTACAGAACAGTATGTTTTGAACAGCTTGCAAGGGTGACTGGACGGGAAAATCGAAAACACTTAAATCAAACTGAATTCAGGCGAGCTCTCATCCTTTCAACATTCATTTTCGCACCATGGTCACCATAGCACATCCCAAGCCATAGATTTCTTCAACCAATGGTGCTATGACTTGGTGCCATGGCCATGGAATCTTCATCGCTACCAAGGCACTCACAGGGCTTCAAATTCTTGGGTGGAAACTTCAGTTTGTTGCGTTCGCAAACGCACTCGCCGAAACCAAAAACTCGTTCCTCGAGGTGGAGTCGTAACTAGTTTCCCCG